TGGACTGGGTTTGCCCTGTTATAGGCGCCCACTCCCAAATTAGTCCCCCTTTGCCACGGAACACATACATTACGATCAACTTCAAGCAATACAGAAATGACAGAGCAATGGGGCGGGGGCAAATAGCAGGAACTGAATGAAGCACAAGGAGTTTTGTACAAGCTACTGGAACCTGCAGTAAGAATATCTGAAGAAACGAGAATGCATAACAACGGCCCACCACAGACACCCTGACTGGTCCCGACTGTGATGGAACCTTGGTACGTACCGATGTTGACTGGCTTGCAAACATTGGAGCAGCGCTCAGAAAGGGGATGGAAAGTGATGCTGCTGTGGTTAGGAAGGTTAAGGAAGCCAGAGAAAAGAAGGTAGTTGAGGAAGAGTTAACCAAATAAATCATTTTTTTTTTTGTGGGTAGAAACTGATTACACTTCGATCAATCCAATTGATGGATGTCATAAACTCCTGTCTCTATGATTGTTGGTGACATTTGCTATTCATGCCCCTTCAACATTGCTCATCCACTATCGACAACGCTTCTAGGCGAATTATATATATAAAGAAGATAACAAATAAAGGAAAAACGTGATAGCCTTTAGCAGTAACCCAATATTGTCTTTCTGAGCTAGAAAGTGAGATTTATATTAGCCTTAGCTTTAAGTTGGGAATCATGAATACATCCAGCTACCTCAGCTGGATCGTTCCACCTATAGGAATCAGTTCCCAGTATTATCCAACCGACTTCATGCCTAGTGTCTCCTCTTCTGACTTTATAAGCTTATATCCCTCCTTTTGGTAAAGGCGTCGCGCCGATGTTAAGCTATTATTTGTCCCCAACCGTATTCGCGAATAACCCACCTCGCGAGCAAAACTGGTACATTGCTGAATCAAGGCACGGCCAAGTCCAAATCCTCGTGCGCTAGGTTCGACAAGAAGAAGGCGCAGTTTGCTCCATTGAGATCCGAGTCCCTGTCCTTCACTAACAGCACGCAACCGATGAATTACCCATCACGTTCTGCAACTCAGCAGCGTTCGCATTTTGGCACGAGGCCCTCAAAACACTCGGTCCATCCGTATTCATAATCCTTGTGCCTGATTGCATGGTTTGAATGGCGAAAGCAAGGAGCCAGTGCCCTTCGGCCTCATCTTTATCCCCATTAGTAAGAAGCGCGTGGATTTTCTTCCGAAGGATGGTCCCATATCGCACGCAACGGTCCTCGAATTCAGGAAGTCTATAAGCACGATCAACGTTGACTTTCTTGTCAAGGAGCATTTCGACAATCTCCTGGGATCCATTCTCAATCGCTCGGGATAACGCAGTCCTTCCGCCTCGTTCTTTCTTGTTGATGTTAGTCTCTTTTTTCCAGGAGCATTCCCACGATCGTTCCATAGCATTGCTGGCGGCATAGTGCAGTGGCGTAGCTCCGTGCTTATCCTGTATGGTGGTTGATCGGCTCCTAAGCCGTTTCCTCAGCCTCCCCTTATTTTGCCACAGGAGCGATATTATGTCCTTATTTGCGCTCCGCGCTGCCCAATCTAGCACTATTCTTCCATAACTATCTTTGGCATTGATGTCAGTGCTCTTGTTGTTGACCATTGATTTCACCATAGCTTTGTGCTCATTTCGTACCGCCCAGTGTAGAGCTATCGTTCCATGGTGTTCTTTGGTGTTGATGGCCAGTTTCCCTCGGAGCAAACGTTTCAGCAATTGGTCGATTCCAAAGTATGCGACAATGTGCAACTTCGTGACATTCTTCCTCCGTTGCAGGCTGTATTGCGAAAGGCTCATGACTTTGATTGCACATTGCAGTTTATGACTCGTCTCAAGGAGTTCCTGAGCTTGCTCCTTGATAGGACTCGCGTCTTTCTCGGTTTTCCAATTAAGTTCCTGTCGCGCATGGGATCCCCACTGCTCAGCAGCATAGACAACGAGAGGAGCACCCGCTATTTGCTCCTTCAGGCTGTCCTCACTATTGGGGCTGTGGCCTAATGTTAAAAATGACTCGATGCAGGTTGTTGCAATATCTGGAGCATCCCTGAGCCAGTCCTTTTGTTTTTTCTCAAGGTATACTTGGGCAGTTAAATGGATTAGGCGGACTGTTCATGAGCTCTGATTTATATCGACCAGGCCTTCACAAAGGTCATCTGGAATCCTGGGGGCTGTTCCTTTTCCACAACTCAGAGCCAAAGCCCCCTCTAATTCTCCAACGGTCAGATGGCGGGAACGCCGAAGTGAGCCAGTACAGAATTTGTCTCGCAACCTCTAGTTGCCTTTTAGGCTCCCTCCTAATCTTTTCCACATGTCCTCAAATGCTTTGTCCAGGTTATCCGGCAGATCATTCATCCAGGTAACGAGTTCGTCCTTCCTTCGCGTCGGACGTAGCGTATCCATATGCGGTTTCACTAGAAGAAATCTACAAAGCCCAGGTTAGTGCTGCACACCATGATAGATATGTGATACTGACATTCCATTATTCCCCTTTACCACAGTATTCACAATGTGAAATTTCTCTTAATCTGATAGCCCTCCACTGTCGCGCGAGATGTCAACCTTGATCCGGCTATCCGCATATGAATTTAAGTCTTCTTCAGAGGGATGAATCTCCACGGTTGTATACGTGGGGAACATATATGGAAGGCGTCTCTACGACCGGGAGGTGGCCAGGAGGTTCACTGTTTGCTCTAACGAGCGAAGTTTGTTGAGTTCTTCCACAAACTCTTCACGAGCTTCGTCCCCAATTCGTCCAGGGCATCCACAATGAGGAAGACTTTTGAGTATCTGCGGAGTTCATGGTAGAGTACCTTGCGAACTTCATCAACATCTGGATGTGTATGCTTCTGGTCATCATTCTGGCGCGGTTCTTTCACCTCATCATCAACGGGACCCCCACGGGCGACAGCCAGCTGCAGCAAAAGGCTAGCCAGGATACTGTCCACGGTCTGGCGAGCTTGATCCTTAGAATTGCAATATACGCAGGGTACATCAAGGTTGTTATTCGCGTTGAGCTCTCTCCGGAGGTGATCAACGATGATCGATATATTGATCCATCCTCCATTAGCTTTTCTTCCGTTTGATCACTGCGAGGAGTCTTACACTTGCATGGTCTTACCAGTGCTAGCGGTGAGGAAAGTTTAGCGAGACCCAAGTTAGGGGCGATAGGGATATATCATACGAAGCCCAGTATATAGGAGAGTTCCCTTTGAGCTTGAAACCCATCCCTTGAGTGCCTCGCTGCTCACTAGCGTTGTGCCCGTCCACTGTGTTCTTTTTCTGGGTAGGTCCTGCTGAGTTTGAAGGAAATTAAGTGAGGATAGCCAAGTATGGATTTTTTCTTTCACTAAATATTTAATGTTAACAATAATAAATCCTAAAAACACTAAATAAACGCTAGATAGTTAAGCGGCTTGCTCTGAGTCTCAATGTATATATCCCCTTGTGCGGACACAAATCCCAGAGATTATATGTCTATTCCCTACTTTATACCTCCCAAGGTATACGTGATTGCCTCCAGGAGAAACATCCGTGCTGTTGTTGCGCTTAACTATAGGTTCTGGTCCAGGGATGCCATGCTGGTGGGAGTATTGTAACGCCATAATATCTGGCTTGGGTTCAGAATCCTGAGATATCGTGGTATATACAATGTCAAATTTACCATATATCCAAGTTTGATCGCTGGAGAAAATACCACGGCAAAAGTCTAAGGATTATTTGACACTTATAAACGGTTTGGACACATGTGCACCACCCACATGTTTTATTTCCTCTTTCGCCTTCCCTTCTTTTCTATTGTCGTTGCCCTTGCTTTCGATGCCTGCCTCATTCTGCAAAGGATATTGCAGCCTTCGCATCAGAAAGAGTCTTCAGCCTCATCAAGAGCAGAGTGTCCAAGCTACCCGGCTCAAGCTAGGGTGTTTGCTTCACTGAGTATGCTTTACACACTGTGACGTGTGATATGAGGCAGGTGCCTTGTGACGTTTAGCTTCTCTCAGACAAAAAGAGCTGGTCATGAAAGAGAAAGGCACCCGATTCCTGACCCTAGCTACTCACGGCTAGGTGATTAAAAGAGCCGAACCGTATCCTAGATGAGGTGCCAAGCCGACCAACTACCCTCCAACACGCAAGCATACCCCTCTGTTACCCATAAATTTACTTAATAGACCAATGATGGAGAATATCCTCAATTCCGTTTAGTTTCGGCGTTGACCGGTGGGAGTAACTGTGACTTACAGGATTCCCTTTCAGGACCCGGCGCTGGCGCGGGAGACTTAGGCTTCCTGCACCTACAAATCTTCCAAAGAAAAGCTGTCTAGTGTATCTCGCCAACTGTGGCAGTTCGACGAGCGTCAGCCTCCAAAATGGGGAACGTTTCAATGCGGAACTACTCGCTAAGGCTGCACGGATCGGCCCCGAGCCAGCCATCCATTGCGACCCAAGGTGAGGAAGAAGGGTCGGAAATTGTTTCCGCTTTGTACAGGATATCGCCTCATATTGTAACCACAGAGCAGTTATCCTAATACGAAATTTGTCAACTATGCAATTTATAGAAGAACCCGAATATGCCGGGTTGGGCAGGGTCCTTCGTACACACACAGCGCCAGCTCCCAGAGGATGATCTACCGAACGATCGACATGTCCGGGCAATGGTTGGTGGGGAGGACTTGGAGGGGTATTTACTAATGTGCTGACTCTCAGTGATAGCTCAGATGACCCTGTATAGCTGCCCAGTCATTTTTTGTTTTGTACCTCCAACCCATCTTTCAGCCTCCTTTATCACGCCGAGTAGTCATTGGGCGCGGTTGTGGAATGTGTCGGCATTTAGTATGCCACGAGGCATGGTCAAAATAGTTCGAAACATATATTTGGTATTTTTCGCCTAATAGGTCAGCTTCCAACTACAGCTGCGACAAGTGCTTTCGGCGAACCACATCACCGTTTCTGTGTGGTTACGACGTGTGAGTTTACTAGGACACGAGTATTTGGCTGTCAATTTAAATTGCTTGGTAGGCGTGGAGCCTGACTACTACCTGAAACCCGTCAGGCTGAGGCTGCAGTTTTATAACAAAATATAACATCAAAAGGTAGAGTCACAACTATGGGAACTCGTCCTGATATTTATATCCCTCCCGGCATTTTGATTTCCCAAAAACATCGGTCCGCCGCCGGAGAAGAATGTCCCAGAATAGACCGACCTGTCAGGACTCATGAGGCTTGATTCACTCGCAGCTGTCGATCGTACATCGGCAGGATCCGTTTCCACAACTTCGACAGGAGGCACAACGGAGAGGAGCTCTTTTGCATATGCTGCTGCCGTTGCTGTGGCATAGCCGTGCCACTGATCGTTCTTGTGAAATTCCGCATAGTTGCTGATACCCCGGATGACGAGACATGGAAAGTGATCCATCAGTCCGGCAGCCTCCATCTCAAAACATATGATTCCCAGCTGGCGTGCCAGTCGGTCTCGAGTTTTAGCATCCTTCATTACTTGTTTACTAGATGCAATCAGACCGTAGCGAATTCTCGGTTCAGTTGAAGACCGAGTAGGTCAGTTCACTAGCTGGGTGTGGTCGCAGCTTTCACAACTACCGACGAGGAGCCAGGTGGTCATATTCAGGGTGGAAGAGCTGGTCTTCCTCTTGACCCTGATACGTGAATTCACTAGTATGGCTGGAAGTCATAACTGCCAACTAGGAAATGTGCTTCGAAAGGTCGCAGCCGTCCAATAAATTGTTCGCCTGGTGTTTATTCATTGCCGTCAACAACAGCTGCGACGGCTTATTCAACGTCCCAGTGCGCTCAAATAGCCCCCCTCGGATGACTTTCCCGTAGTGTACTGGACCACTCCCCCGAAGCCTTTCGTCGGGTTGCTAACTACAACGTCTCCCAGTCGAATATCCGTGTCTCTGCTTGGTACTCCTCCGCCGATCCCCATCATCAATGAGAACCCGAGCGATGGGAATCTGGATATCATTTGGGAGGCCACGATCGCTGGAGGTATCGTTCCGTATACTCCCGATGGTAGACAGACGATGACAATATTGTGACAACCTATAGTGGCGAGTGTGTAGGTGTTGTGATCACTTGGAGAACTCAACAAATCTGGGTGGACTTCGTCCAGCATTGCTTTGGCTGCAGCCATTTCTAATGGAAGAGCACAAATACATCCAACCGTGTAGTCGTTATGCGAGAATGGTATCTTTGCAGTACCCATCTTATGGGTAACTAGAGTGTTTTACCTGGCTGTATCGGCGTTAGGTGTGGCGTCACCTAGATTGTCTGGTGTGAAAAGATACATCAAGTATAAAGATGAAACTAGACGAGAGTCGACAGTTTGTATGAAAAACGTTTATATACTCGCTATTTCTCTTTTCTTTTATGTTTCGAGTGCTGTGTACAGCCAAGGCAGATCTGAACAAAATGTCTTTCTGATGCGGAGGTCAGCCTTCTCCGCCGATGAGGGGTGGACATGTACTCTTTGGTGGGGCGTAAGCTGGACACCAGGATCTACTGGTACCCAACGTATTCTGAGTGGACAATACGACACTCCCATCGCCCGGAAGGGATGTCTGTACACGTGGCGAGGGCTAAACACTGGGGATGTTTCAGGAATTAGTACTCGACTGTCTGTCCAAGTTCGCCATTTTCCTCGCAGTAACTGATTAAATCGTATGGGGCGCTGTTTTCCTTCCTTGGGCTTAACCTATCACCAGATGGGACGCCGTTGAAGGAATCCATGCTGAAATTGAAGACTGGAATGTCTCACAAATGGGTAGCTTACACAGCGCTGGTCAGCGGACCTCTATGCTAGCTGATCCCCCCCGGGAGAATGAAAGCGGTTCAAGAAGTTCAAGCAGTTTAAGCAGTTTAAGCAGTTCGATTGATTCAACTGGGCGAAGTCCGTACTACCTATTTCGATAATCTAGCTTAAGAACAATTCTGATCGCTGAAAGGTTAATAAAATAAATGATATAATTAGTCTAACTAATGTAGATTGTTCATAATATCTGAGATAAATATATACCAGGTGAGCCATCTAGACTGAGCAATCTAGATCAGCCGTGGATGTATTCAACATGGTCATAGATCAAACGTCCACTCATAAAGAAAAATAAAGAGCACAGTACAGTCTACTGGACTTGTGGAATTAGTATAAAGTGCGTCGCTGTTGATATCATACGTAAAAAGTTCATCTGTGGACCGGCTTGCAGCTGTAGTGCGGTATGTTAGGGAAATCACTCGGAGGTTCGTCTCCCACGATTGACCCTAACCGGAAACAACGCTTGCTGATCTCGTCCGAAACTCCAAAGTGGCTAAAGAGCTCTGGGTAACAGGGTGGGTTTTCCGATCGGCGACCTAGTTTGATCAAGCACTTTAGACCATCACAAATGGTTAGTCAATAGGCTTTCCACGATGTCTAGCCATTCTCTACAGAGCCTCCCACCATCACTCACGCCTTCCAAAAAAGCCATTATGTGTAGGCTATGTAGGAGTGCTATTACTGGAGGGTGGGCAATGCCGGATTATCTGGACTATTGAATTGTCAGCTTGACGGTGTTTCGTGGGCCAACAGGCCATAACTTGGCAATATCTACACCTTTTAGAAGGCAAGGCGACATGAGTGACGGGACTTATGATCTGATCAAGAGTAAACATCGGCATTTACTCGGCTCTTGTATCAGAAGATCAATGCCACCTTGCACGCAAAACTTTACCAACGGAGCGATTCCCCCGAAGAATATGATAGGGAACGGGTTGGTACTTGTGAAGGTAGCTTGTGACCCCAGAATCTAGCAACGAGAGACCGAACTGGGCTGTATCAATAGAGCTGTGAGAGTTACAAAAGAGATGTTGCGTGAGACGTCACTGAACGCTCAGATTAGGGGAACTACTATTGGCACATGGTGAAGGGGTTAAAAACATGACGCGTATTCGAGACAAAAGAATTATTAGAGAAAATGTCTTAAACATCCTTGTCCTTCTTTACTTACAAAAAGGGACATTAATATAATCGGGGGACGGATTAACTAGCGGCCAGCATGAGCAGGGATGTCCCTGTGGGTTTCTTAAATTGGTAGTTAGGGCCAAACTCCCCAATGGCCTGTTGATGCCATGGAAGTTTCGGCTATCGAACTAGGTCAAAGGTGAATATATAGCTCGATAGTAAATATTGACTGCCGAAGCTACCTTTAGGAAGCTCCCTTGTGTGACTTCGGGAAGAGTAGATACATGGTAGAAGATGCGACAGGGTTTAGTGTAATATTATCGCACTCGCGCTCTGTTGTCATATTGACAGGGTTGAGGGCGTAGACTGTGCACCAACTCCACAATTCAATGAGCTCATTAGTCCCTTGTGAGATACTACGCTGGCCCACAGTCTTACGAGGCGTCTGTGATAGCTACCAAGTACGTGCTCGCATTTTGTGACATGGCGTTGTGTGCAGAATGTACCTGGCATTCCTTCTCTTGTCTTCCTGTATATTCCTCTATGAACAATCCTTCCCCTTATGAAGAGCTTCAAACAATTTACAATATCCTTGAAAGCGGGTGCATAGCTATTGAGCCCGGTCCACTTTCAGTCCTGAGTCCCTATCATAGAGCACCCCCACCCGGACCCTGCCTCGGCCCCGTCCTCTTCTATCCTCCACCAAGTCAGCGATAGACCTGCTCTTTTGCAACGCGAGGTGCGCAATCCATTATGATGTACTTCAAGAGAATGGTGCACTACCACTGCATCTCCTTGCTCAAGTACCGTGCAACAAAAATCTTGCTATTAAGTCTCTTTCTTTGGCTCCTAGTCTTCGAATATTGCCGCTTCCACCTCTGGCGAGATCCCCACTCCGCATTTTTCAACGACCGCCATGTCTATGATTTTAAGTACAGCCTGTACCGTGAGCGCGAATCCAGACACTTCATTTCGCGATATAATTCGCCCTCGGAACCCCCTGACTATTCAAAAAGTGGACCAGACCCTCTGATCTGCGCGGCGTTCGTGACTGTACGTAGAAATGAGGACGATTACTTCGACCCTTCGGTCGGATCACTATTAGAAGGGTTGGATACCATGGAGCGCCAGGCATTGTATATTAATGTTCTCTTTGCTGATATAGATCCGATAAGGTATCTAAGTTGGGCGCAGAAATGGTTGGATAGACTTGTTGATAACGCCAGGTCATATAATGTTTCCCAGGAGACTTTGGACCATCTAGGGAGATTAGAGACGGAGAGAAACTTTTATGAGAAAGGCGTTTTGTATGCTCCCTAGCCCTTAAGCTTCGAGACTATTGATTGGCAGTATTGCTAACGATGACGATCTTCAGCGACTACACCTACGCTCTGACAGCATGTAAACAGGCCAATGCATCCTATACCATCATATTCGAAGATGACATCATTCTTGCGACAGGCTGGATGACCAAGACTCTAAAGGCCCTTGCGGATATCGACCGCATCACGCAAAAATCGAATTCCTGGATCTATCTCCGCCTCTTCTATACCGAAACAGCACTAGGTTGGACGTCCTCCGATTTCGCCTATAGAAACATGCCTCTCATCTTCTTCCTCAATATACTTTCGGTATTCTTGTGTTTATTGCAGCTCAGACGGTGGCGCTTCGCGCCCTACCTTGACTTCCTTAGCGTGTCCGTTATCTGTCTAATCTGTGTACCGGCATTTACAAGCCTGATATACATGATGGGAAAGTACACCATTATGCCTCTTCGGGGCGTGGTGGAGATGAACAAGTTTGGCTGTTGTACGCAAGGCCTAGTCTTTCCAAGAGCGCAGGTGGATGGCGTTATAAGTTATTTGATGGAAAGGGGGCATGGGCAGACAGATTCTATGATTGAGGAGTATGCGGATCAGGAAGGGCTGACAAGGTATGCTTTAGCACCGCCGGTACTTCAACACGTTGGACTAAAGTCTAGCCGGGATAACCTTGACATTAATACAAGAAGTACCTGGGCATTTTGGTTTGAGGAAAACGATCCAATGGTTCTCCAGGCGGACCATGAAAGGCTTCTGAGTGATATTGATGTTTTAGGAATATTGGGGGGTCATAGCTGAATGTGTAGACAGCGAAGCTCTATGGTTTTACCTATGTAAATATATTCGGAATGCACATCTTGTGGAGATTTGGTTTAAACAATTACGCTAGACAACGCCTAATGGGCTGGCAAGAGCTACTCAGGAGAACCTTTTATGACACTATACGTTCCCGGCAGATGTATATATCTATAGGCTAAACTATGATTCACGAAAGCCACGAGAGACGAGATCGTATGTGACTATGATACCAAACCGACTAGGAAGCGCCTAATTATCACTCACATGTATGCTCCACTATGCCCGCCCTAGAGTTCATCAAGAGTGCGACTATCAACCCGTAAAGACCTTATAAAGATATTAGTTCAGAGGCTGTATGAAGGATTGGCATTATTACTCACCCAAGACCTCTGCAAAAATTAGAATTAGAATCATGCCCACATAGAGTCGAGGTTGTTGTGCTGTTCCCCTCACACCAGCATCACCCACGATTCCGATAGCGAACCTATCGGCAACGTTAGACAAAACCTGAAGCATACCGAGTATTGGTGTGTTGACAATTCGTCCTTACCCTGCAGCCAACCCTGCAAGACCAACAGCGAGCCCTGCACCCATCTGTACGAGGCTTGTGTAGATGGTTACCTTCTGCGCAAGATTGTTTGCAATCAATACGGAAACGACCAGTCCGTAAATACCGAGTATTCCGGCCATGACGACGGGGACGATGTCTAAATATTATTAGTCAGTACGCTGTGATGGTGAATGCAGTATTACATACTCTTCACGATTAGATCAGGTCTCAGAACACCCATGGAGCAGATCCCAACACCAGCCTTCGCAGTGCCATAGGCCGCACCGAAGGAAGTAAAGACGATAGCACTTGCACAGCCTACGGCACCAAAAAAAGGCTAATACTCAGATTAATTACTACCCTTTGTCGGTGTATCTTCATGTTTGGGTATATGGCGTTAGACGTACTGCGTAGACAGGGCTGCCGGTTCTGGCGTCAGCATAGAATTCGAGGTTATCTTATAGCTATGCATATACAGAGGTCTTACCAAAACTCGGAAACCATGGTCACTTGCGGGTAGCGTGTCCTCAAGTTGCGGGAGACTACTAAAGCTGGAATCGTTGTCGGGTTTTGAGTCAACTGGTAAAGAGCACCGGAAAATATTTCACAAACGGAGTAATGGCGAAGAAGTACGCGTCGCCTCCTCTACTATCCTTATACCCTGTCTGGTATTGTCTGGGTTATGGCATGAGCAATTTAGGCAGCAAGAGACAGGCAGCCTAATCAAAGAGGAAGCCGCATGAGACGACAAAGGTACGACTCTTGCGGCTTTCATCGGATGTTTCCGGCCGGAGCAAAGATTGAGGTTTGTACGGCGCAAACCTTGATTGCCTCGGATCTACGGAGGCGGGCCAACTCGCGCGAAAATGACAGTAACCAAGGCTTGGCAGTCTTGCCGGTCTTTGTTCGGCGCTGTGGTAATAGTGGCTTGATGAGCACGAAGGGCTTGGCACAGCCTGCGTGTCTCGGAAAAACTTCAAACGCAGCAGTAAATATGCGCTAAGTGGACCATATAATACAGTGAGATCTGCATATCAAGCACACAAAGACTAACCCTGGAGCGCCTATATTCGGCTTTCTTGGCATAACCCAGGAGAACGACCTCATCTAACAGTAGTCCTGTTGAGGCACCAGTGTCGGTAGGGGGTAGATTTGTGACCTATTGCTATAGTCCTAGTATTCCAAACGTCGAAAGAAGTATAGTCGATGGGATTCATGAGACGTAGGGTGATATAACATCGGAGATCCTCACATCGGGCTTCAGTTGCATTGTGATCGAGCATACAAGGAGTGGCTCCCGGAAGTAGTTAGGGCGATGGCCAAGACGTGTCGTAAGGATCCTATGACTTGACTGTGAGTTTGTGGTGGAGACACACATTAAGAAATCAGAACAGTATCTAGTGGTCTGGTCATATCAGAAAATATATTAGTGGGGCAGATGCTGGAACTATAGATCCATCCGCAAACGCAATGTTACATGGTGGGATTTGGCTACTATAATATCCATGAAATTGCAGTAGCGCCAGAACGGTATCAGGTTAGTAAATTGACATCCCAATAGCAATACAAATGGTCTTTGACTTACTGTACCCTATCAATCCAGAGCGTATCAAGTCACTAAGACCTAGTGTCTAAGAGATCCTCAGAAATAAAGGCTATGAGAGATTCCATATATACGAGAAGCGCAAGGTATCGTAACTTCTCCCCAAGATCTCTCGTACATTAGTTAACAGATTTGTATTAGACCCAGGTAGCGCTCACTGATACTATCATCTTCCTAGTATTCATCAAGAGTACTCAGAATATCACTCTAATCCCGATTGATGAGGGTGAACTGCATATAGAATGCGCTGGAGGACATAAACCACCGCAATTCGTAGACAGCGCTACGGCATCTCCGGACGTACGGTCAAGTGCTAGTGAAGTTAGATATGGTGGGAATGTAATCTATGGAAACGAAATACATTTACTTCCGCTCTGTGTCCGAGCAAATTAGTGTCCGCAATCTTTCGATGAGGCATTAACGCACGAGGCATCAGTGGTGGCCTACACGCAAAGCCTTCGTATCTTCCCGGGTATACCCCCGTCCTATCTATCGAGTAATCGGGGGGGTGTTGCAATGAGACGCTCAAGCACCTTGACTGCGCCGCCGTGGACCGTACCAGGTTTGATTCCACTTCCCCACTATCTAGTTAAGAATGTCTCAGTACTGGAAGCTTTCCTTTCTCTTTTTCCTCCAGAACCGGGAACTATACTTCAGTAGCCCGTGATCATTGCTTGCGTTTCAAATAAGAACAATGAACAACAGCTTAGCACTGAGCCCCGTGTCTGATAGTTAGTCTTCGGGTCGTTGAAATTTAAGAAGTTGCCCAGCCTACATGGACTCTAGACTGGGAAGGATTCATTCGTTTAGAGCATGGGTTTTGATAGGGTAACGAGTCGTATGAAATGATGCAACCGCTTCACTCTAAAGTCATGTCTGCTAAGCAAAGGGGACCGCAAGGTCAGAAATTCCACTTTTTTAAATAGGAAACACAACAACCCGAATTCAGGTAGTAGCAGAAGGAGACATTCTCGAGTAACTCAATTCCGTAAACACTAGACGGGAGTATTTGCCAACCTTTGGTTATGAAATGTAACCTTTGTCTAGGGTATGTCTCATAGACTAGCGAAGGCCGGCGGATTAGCTCCTTGGGGTAGGCATAGATGTTAAGATACAGGGTTCCTCAATACCGATTAGGCAACTTACATGGCTAGGCCATCAGTAGTCGACTCTGACAGGGATAGAATCCTAATTGATTGATTGATTAGGTCCATGGTGATTCCATTTGACCGAGGGACATTGAAATGTTCGTGGTATAAGAAGCACGAAAGTCCTCCCTCGAACACTCATCTCCAGAGACAAACAGTCCTACCAGCTTCAGCATACTTGCTTTGTACTCATCGATACTGTGTGACCAAACACGCCTTCAAAATGAAACCCAGTACAGTGTTCTCAGCTCTTGCAGCCTTCTTCCTCGCTGGTGTACGCACCTGTCCATTATATGTCCAATAAGCCTCCCTAACAGAGAAACAGGTCCACGCCCAGTCTGTCGAGGCCCCAATCCCGGGCTATGGAGTTCAGGACTTCTCCTGGGAAGTTGAGACTACTCCCGGAGGCGAGAAGGTGGTTCTGAACGGCACGATCCAAGAGGTCTACACTGAGCTGCTCAAGATCAACCCGCGTTATGACGGCGATTTTGCTGAGTACGCAGCTAAGAATGAACTCGCAAGAAGAGATAACCCGGCCTCTTCACTCAACAAGCGCAACGATGTTAAATGAAACAACTACCAACAGGCAATCAGAAGGAGAATTGAAGAAGGCATTCGTTACTTGCACAGTGTGCCGGGCCAGCCCACCAATGGACCTGGTCCCGGAAACTGCGGTCGAGTAAGCTGTTCGTATAACTCCGCTATTTGGTGGTGCAACGATGTGAGTGCTCTCTGGACTTTTGAATAGGGCACAGTTGAACTAAACGGTACTTAGAACACATCGCCCAAGACGCTTCCCGGATTTTACAATATCGCACAAGGTGCTCAGGTGGTTATTAACCAGTGCGACCCAACTGGTGTTTATGTTTCCGGGGAGGAGAATCATGCCGATAAGTGGAGGGCTGTCGTTCGGTATAATGTCTGCTAGGCGCCGGATAAGTGATGCCAAGGCGAGAGGGGTCCGTTGTCGCTGGTTTAGTAGTCTGCTGTCCAGGAAGTGCGGTATATAACAGAATGTGCCTATGCCTCGAGGGTAGGAAAGAGCATCACTAAGCTCTCGGTTTTCAACAAATCGACCTACCCATCAAAGTCAACTATCTATTTCTATGTTGCTGATATCTCACCCCGTCCTTCTCTACTGTAGCATTCCTTCCAGGAACACATAAGTATGTTACCTTTTCTCCAAGATGACCAGTGCCCGAGGGTTATCGTTGACTGTTGGATTGTTGACCGGCATGGAATAAATACTTAGTCCCGAGGGATCGGGCTGCGCGTGGGTGATCCCGGCCGGGTCGCCACATCCTGTCATGATAGTAGCAGTAGGTCCAACAACTCTTGGTTTGATTCTACTTACAGGTTGAGTACCTATGTCGCAAGCGGAAATTTCTCTGTAGTAGCGCCCAATGGATGCGATCGAAGTTCCAGGAACACACTGTTTATCCCAAGGTCCAATCCCGAATCCTTCACCAGACACACAAGGTAGCCATGGGCATGGAGTATGGACCCCCCCTTGGAGAATGTTTGTATGAGACCCTGGGAGAAGTAATATCCGTAGAGCCTTTTTTAACCGGTCGTCTATTCACGCCTTGGTATGCTGTGTAGTTGTCAGGATAGATGTCAACCATGTGATGTGTGTATAGTACCGTCGCCATCAGTATTGGATGCGTGATATATGCGTGATACGTGATACATAAAACTTCAATGTTTAGAAATATTTACATAGAATCTGAGATTTTGCCTCCAATATTTTTGACCAGATTGCTCTCTGTCTCTACGTGGTGAATATGCATAAACTGGCCTGTAGGTATAACTAACATCAATATCTTTCTAAGGACCGTTTCATATCCTGTTATCGACCATATTTGGGTTGATCAAAAGATTACAGCACGACTGTACATTTTTGGTTAATCAATCTCAACATTGCGCGATATTGTTCACATTAGGGACTTCACATAGTACTGCTATAGGCTGAAACACCACTCGTCCGTCTTGACCGCATGCCCCACACCCCTAGATAATGGCAGCAGCATGATACATTGCATTATTGTGGCTTGCTTTCGATATACAAGCTTTTTTGGGCACTGTTTCTAGCGCGCTTGACATAGGGGCAGTAAATTACAAGGCTGCGATGGTTCCATTAGGCTTCATGGTTGGTATTAAGGCTAAACATAGGTCAAAACCTGTTACTAGACAGTATGCTATAGCCAACTTCCAAGGAACATAACTGATAGGTATTATAGTATACATCGGGCCATTTGCCAACCTTACGCAATTAAATTACAATCTAGAACAAGAGATCCTTGCCCCAATAGAATAAGATGCTCGTTAACATACTCTGAGTGGCTCATCCTCGGAAAGTCTCTCTTTGTACGCGGTACAGCAACTAGTAAGCATTTGGCACAGAATCACGACCAGCGTCGTGTTTTGGTACCTGCAGAAGGTTTGGCGTAAGTTTACTTTGTATCATGACGTGATCTAGAATGATTAGTTCATTTGTTTCATATCATTAAATTTGTTCATGGAGCGGTTTGTATTGAGGTGGGGTGGGTGCCTTAAGATCGTTTGGAACTGTCAGAACCACTGTGGCAAAAGTATCACCGCCCGTCTCAGGTCCTATTATATTTAGTATTCGGCTAGCAAAATTTGTAGAAGGAAACGATATACGAACGCACCCTACCTCTGTAGAACGTAGCCCGAGACTAGAAAGGATGGATGTAGGTGAGCCTCATTCCCGCCCTTCACGGTGCGACTGGCGAACCTCGTTCTCTTTCTCCCCCTCGGGCTAATGGGAGCATATATATTACAGGCCATAGCATGTGTACAGTAGCACACGAAAAGCATCATTACAGCTTTGACATGGACATCTGAGTTCCCTCAAGTAACAATGGCTTAATGCCTGGAGCCGTGATATCTCGAAGTGGTTCGTTCTGGTGTACGATTATCATTACGGGAAAGAACTGAAGGAACGTTAAATTTATGGCGATATGTCACGTCTTTCAGTTTCACTGGTTCTGTGGTAATAGTATCATCCATCAAATTGACTCGATCGAAAACTTCGTGCCTATATTTATTGGATACATCGATTCTCTACAGTACCAATAATTCTCCATCTGGAGGTTAAGAACTACTGCCGACGCTTCATGGAATGATGATTGTTGAGTTGCAAGTATAACATTTATTTGATCTACGTCAGTGCAATGGGAGCCCCCGAAATTCCGACTCTGTCCGTAGAGGAAGTATGTGAAAACAGGATGCAAATTATGGGCTGTACCCTAGTCTGACGCCGATCGTGGGCTTGGACATCACACAACAGGCCGCAGCGACACCGATGCCCCATCCCCTAATCAAGTGAGGTAGGCTTCTTTGTCAATGTAGAATAGCCATGCCGTGGAACAATGCATGTCAGATTTTCGAGCAATGATGGCCGCGCTCATCTTTCTCTCGGACCAAGGAGAGAAACCAGCCCATCCCCGACGACCCACTTGGCATCTTGGAACAAAGAAATTTAGCCGCAGAAGATCACTGTACATCGTTGGAGCTAATGCAGCTCGCCAACTGAGGGGTCCATTTTCCTGTCGTCGTACAGTGAGCTCTCCGGACTCACTGGTACGTGAGGAGGCAAGGCTGTTTGCTCGATCCCAAGACACCCCTCCCATTTCCTTTTCTCCCAGAATTATACATCACCCCGCAGATGCTCTGTATTATACTGTTAGTAAAAGAGATAGAGACCGACAAATCATCCCCAAGAGAAAACTCTTGAAGCTTTAGCATTGAGTTGTACTTCCTGGAGATGGCACACAAACCGGACTACGTCCTTACGCGTGACTACCTCAATAACAATCGGTAGATTGACAGGAGCAATCGTCATTCAATTTAAATTAATGACCCTTGACTGACAAGATATGCACCGCTACCCGGTTACGCAGAATCAACCTCCATCATTACCTCTGCGTGGAGCTCTTCGGATATCACACCCATCCGGACATTCCTACAGCGGATCCCAATCTGAAAGTCGCAGACGTAGGGACGGGAACAGGGTCAGTCTTTTCTATAACCCCGAAAAACATTTAATGAGCAGATTCCCATGCTGACATTGTGCTCGGGCTAGTATCTGGCTCACAGACTTAGCTAGGCGGTTACCGATGACAGTGCAACTAGACGCTCTTGACATCTTATTTGACGCTACCCCACCTGCTAAATAGCTTCCTTCCAATGTCCACACTCGCGTGTGGGATATCAAAACAGATCTTCCGGAGGACTTGATCGGTGTCTATAATATAGTCCATGTAAGACATTTTACTTTGGTCCTGCTGGAAGAGGAGGTGGAGAATATTCTTACTAGACTCTTTAAGCTCCTCAGTACACTACTCTCTCTTGTTATTCCTACCGAGATAAAATAAGACTGAGAAGCTAATATACGAGAGTCTAGAACCCGGTGGTTACTTGAAATAGATAGAAGTGGATATGAACTTGTGGCGTATTCTCAAAACTAACCCGAACAATCAGTCTGATGCTTTGGAGGGACTCTTTCAAGCACTTCAAGGGCAAGACAATAGGTTAAGCTGGACTTATGTCTCTAGTCTCGTGTCTTGTTTTGAAGCTGCTCGGTTTAAAAATGTCAAGTCCGAAGCCAAGGATGTACCTCTATATCTTGCTCTTGTTTTGCATGAATGCAACCTGTTAATCACCGATATTCTGCCACGCAAGATGAAGAATAAAAAGGTAAAGGAATTTGTCAAGGAGATAATGCCCCGGGTTGAGAGCGAAACTTGTGAAGGTTCCTGCTGGGCCTTTACTCGGTGGAGTGTGGTAGGGAGGAAACCCCAGTAGGCAACACGGTATACTTTCGTGACCTGCCTGCATATCACTAACAGATGCTCACACTTCCCACTGGCACAAATTTGGTTTACGTTACTTTATCCAGTGATTAATTTATGTCGCGTAATTTGCCATTGGCTGCTAAGTCCCCACATCGCGTTCGATGTACATATCGCTTGTTCTTTGGATCGGCAGTCAATGCGCTTACGGCTCAACAGTCCTGTTAAGCTCTGTATGGAGGAATGAGGTCCGCAATGATGTAGTGGAAGGGTAATAACTTTTGAGCTATACAATGTGGACTTCGGTCAACGTCAATACAAACCCTCATTCGCGTACAGGCAACGATTTAGTACCCAAGCAATAATCCTTGGATAAAGCCCTGTCGCCTGATCGCGCGCTGACGACAACTTTTGGCTTCAATGTGTACACAGCCGAGAGGAGGCACTATTATTAGTAGAGAACTAAAATACACACTTCTTTGTTCGAATTACATTTTTCGTTCTAGGATTCTAGTTGTCCACATGGGGTTCCCTAACTATATGCAGTAAAGTGTAACCCACCCCAAACCCCAATCCCAGTAGGTTTTAGTACCTAACGGCAGCCCCTCATCCTAACGCTCACAGTATCCTATGTTATGACCGCCAGGCTACAGCTCCGAAGGTGAGAAAGCTTAGCGTGTTATTGGAACAAAATTCTTAGCCCGGCTAGATTGGATAACCCGCTTGGCTGGGAGCCTATATATGTACCTACACTGTGCCGCATCCCAACAAGGTATACTAGGTGAGAATCACACCTTAGCAGATAATGAGTGCCCCGCTGTTCTCTTCCCCCTTCTGCGGCAATATTCCGTCTTCATCCGAGGTTGCATTCCGAGCCCGCAACTATTTCCCACTGAAGTGTAAGTTGGCTGCGCCGGTTGCTCTACCGGACGGGGGCTTCGAAACGTGAGATGCCTTAGTGATACCGGGCCATAGGCAGTTTCAGACAGTTATTCATGATTAGTGTATAATCAAAATAGAAACTAGTTTGGTGGCTGTGTAACATTTACCAGATTATGTGGAACCAGCCCGCCAGTATGCACTATTCGACGAGGCTAAAAAGGTCAACTACTTCGTGGCGTTCAACCAAGCATACCCTAGACCGATATACATAGGACATCTAGTAATATAGGGTGTTGGTCCGACAATCGTATACCACTTCCACCCAATATGTAATTATTAGCAATGCTTATACATGATGGTAATCAACAGACCTCCGCAACTAAATAGCAAAATATATAGTTTTCGCTAAGACGTCCGAAAGACGAAGATATAACACATCCTAGCCGACAGGTTCTACCGTGATGTTCTAATATTCATAGAATAATTTAAGAAGAACCCAAAGACTCCTCTTTGGTAAATTGCCTTGTTGGTTGTACAACATGAACCTCGGAGGTCAGATTGATGAAGAGTATCACATACGCAAACATTCCACACATTCAACGTAAAATAATCTATTGATGTAGCCCTCCCGTTTCTCTAGACTATCAACGAGGACACTGTTAACACTCTTTCTATTTCCTGGAAGGGTTGCCGTTTCGCAAGCAAGTTCTTTCCCATTGCGATATCCCATAGGTTATATGTTAATTTCAACTGGAGTAGAACGCCATGACTTCCAGACCTTCACTATATTGACAGGTTCACAACCTTTCGGGAATACGTTACATGAGATATATCTCATTCTAAATTTGATCTCTTTTATATACAAAATTTGAACATAAATATATAAAATAAAACTGGCTATGTGTAATATAGAAAGCTCTGGGGTATTAGATTTGTGGATCAGTTGGTTCGAGTCTAGAATGAGCTGTAAAGCAGCTGTTGGTAACGCGTCTGTTGCAACTGACGAACGCCTACAGCCAGAATGAAAAGCGAAACAGTATTATCGTATGGGTCTTTTGCTGCGCTGCTGCAGCCTCTACATAGCTATACTATGCAGATTCCTGCACATTTACGAGATGTTTGGCCTTCAACTTCTCCACGATAAGCGTTCCCAATTTCCCTGCTTTCGCGATTTTTGGAATAGCCAAATCAACATTGAGTCGGCGGCGAGTCGAGGTTAAATGGTGTCCTTATACGACCCAGTCTCAAATACAAGCAGCTTACAACGAGAGTACCTATTTCACTTGTAAATAAGCCGCTATTGCTACAACGCCCGCAAATTTTGGAGAGCGCAAAGAGGCCCCAAAGTAAGCCTACGACAGTAAAGCGGAAAGGAAAAGGAACAGAGGAAAGTCGCCAAAGACACTGTGAGGCATTCGAGGTCGCCCAAAGGCGCAAGGTTGAGAGAAGGAGAGAGATCAATACCCAAAAGATGAATATAGGCGTTATAGACTCCAGAAACTGGGTCGTGGCTATTACCAACGGCAGCAACTGAGGTTAACGCAAGTGGATCGGATTCGTTGCATCATGGCAACCGAAGAAAAGGAGTGGAGGTTTTAATGCACAAGGTATCTTAAAGGGGAAGCCTGAGGCGTGGGTATTTGTTCGTGTATACCCTTCACGCTGGTCTTACTAGCCATAATTGCACCCCTATGCCTTGGCCTATTTATCCACAGCTTATGGAAAGGAACATAAGGGGTATTTTGGGAGATTGTTCAGCGTTAGGGAGGTGTTCCTCTGAAGGCTTGCTGCTACCCAGCTGGTTTATGGGAGGCCATCAAGGTCTGCTTGACGCTGTAAAGCATAAAGCCATGTTCATTCAAACCCTTGTTTAGGACAACTTTAGTCTCTATGTAGCGTTCGCAATACTATTTATATACTGCAGAAATTTCATATATATTACTCTATCGAAACAGCACCTGCTGCTGGCCCGCGGTCACAGCCTACATCCGCCTAGTGTGCTTCTTGGACTTGGTTATATTTTTAATAACGTAGAATCTATGCAGAATAAGGACAGGCGTAGTTTGGTCCTGCGTAGCGGGTTTGTTTAGAAGGCGCAGGTAAAATTTAGTACCTTGACCATAGTGAAGTATAACATATTGCCATTGAGCCTTACGTGTCTGGCAGACTACTGAACTTTTCAACTTCCAATTTAGCTCGGAATTCAGATCGCCGTTTAATTTACGGGATTGTACTTTATTCACAAAAATGTGTGTGGAGTGACTGCTGGGAATTATTAAATTGCGAGTAGATACATCAAAACCCCACAAAAGCCAGTACAACATAAAAGATATCCCCATTATGGTATACATAGCTCACCCTCCTTTTGACTAAGTTGTACTATTCAGTGTTATTGTCCGCCGTCTTGATTGGCTTGTACCGTGAGATACTGTTCGGTATGGACTCATGGACTGACTCGCTGGAAGCCTGCCTTCGTCTCCATACAAACTACCCGGATTAAACGTATAGGGTCCACGAATCTACTAGAATTTCTGCGTCGTGATATTTAATATTATATTGCTGTTTTCTACATAAGTATGTATATAACGAATCTTTAATAAGCACCGCGGACAATTGTGTAAAAGTGGGGAGGATGACAACAGCCTCTAATGCGCTCAAAGGGGTCGATCAGATGCCGTCTCGCCAAATCCAAGAATAGAGTCAGAGATCCATTACTATTGATCAGCTGCATAATACTCGCCCAATCACTTTCATAATTTGGAAAAATACTGCGAATGGCCTTGAGTTCCTCAAATAAGCGAGGCTTATGATTTATCCCAGAAAGGATATTCTCAGATAATCTTATCCAAAGCAGAGAGTTTGTTAAACTTTGTTTATAAGAAGAAAAGAGAAGAATCTAGTTAATCTATACAGATAGATCTTTTTAATAAAAGACAGTTCAATATTTAGAACTTGACACAGGGCCTATAAATCGATTATAATAATTTGTAGAGTAGTATAACCTAGACTGGCATAACCTAACTGCTGTAATCTAGCCATAACCTAATCTAACTGGCTTTGATTAGATTAAGATATAAAATTCCTTAACTAATACTGATTAGATTAGATTAAGATTAATTAATCTCTTAACTATAATTAATTGTAGACTAGAATAGATTAAATTATAGTTAGACTGGTGTTTGGCTAGGTTAGGTTAGGTTAATGGGGTCAGTTATATCTAACCAGTAGGTTATAGCTAGATTAATAGAATTTCTATATCTAACTACTAGACTGGCGTTTGGCTAGGTTAGGTTAGGTTAATGGGGTCAGGTATACCTAACCGGTAGGTTATGGCTAGGTTATATATATATATTGTACCGTCCGTGGTTAACCGGTAGTTAACCTAGTTCTGCCTGAGGCGGCTAACTAGACCTATTTAGGCAGGCGGTGAACTAGAGTTGCTTAAAATACTGCTGACAGAAAATAGCCCTAACCTACCGCCTACCAGAACAGGCTTAGTTTGGTACCTTGTGGCCTTATCAGGCAGAACTAGGTTAACCGCGGTTAACCTAGTTTTAACCTTAACCTAGGTCGGTTAAACATTTTTATACCTTAACCTAACCGGCCCCGGTTAGGTTAGGTTATGGCTAGGTTACAACAGTTAGGTTATGCCACTCTAAATATTATTATATAATAAAATATTAATTATATTTATATATATTTCTATCATATATTCTCTATATATAGCTACTCTAATCTAAAATTAGTTAAAATACTATATTAATTATAAAAAATACTAATTTTAATAGAATCTTTAATTAAATATATATTTTCTTTTAGCATATAATTAATAAATAGAATCTTTTAATACTGTTAATAGAATATTTCTATAGTCTATTAAGATAATTCGATTAATATTAAATTAACTATAATTAATTTAGCTTACTATTTACTATATTAGATAAGAATTAATAGCTTTAGTATAAAGGATAGTTAATCTAGATTAATTATATAATTTTTGACTTAACTATAGTTAGATATAGAACTTCTATTAACCTAGCTATAAGCCTATAACCTAGCGGTTAGGTATAACTGACTCTATTAACCTAACCTAACCTGGCCAAACACCAGTCTATTCAAGACGATGACATGCGTTTAGACTTCTCCGCTGCTGCCATGATGGCAGTCGTGAACGCCGAGCGAACACCCAGCTTTTCCAGCTCTAGGAGAGCTCGGATAGAGCAACCTCCAGGAGAAGCAATTTTCTCTCGGAGAACACTCGGGTGATCTCCAGCAGGTACCAGCTTCATCATCCCAATCGCACTATTTACCACTAGGTTTTGCATGTCAGGTCTCTTCACGCCCTCCGCAACGGCAGCATCCAGTAGCCCATCGATCGCGAGGAGCAGGAGGGAGCCAGCACAACCAACTAGAACTGCACAGATATCAAAAGAGCTTTCGGGGATGCTCTGCGCCTCCCCAACTTGACTAAATACCCAAGACGCAATCTCGAGGTTCTCCTTCGTTGTGCCGGGGCCAGCAGTGTACAATGTCACGGCCTCTCGGACTTTGGCCGCCATATTAGGCATTGCACGCACGCATTGAAGCGCACTTCCACTGTTTGAGGCATAGTCTTCACCGAGGGCTAGGCTATTCAACGCTTTGGTGGTGATACCTGCCATGATACTGAGAACGAATTTACCTTGCAAAGCCTCCTTGAACCCTGGCGCGGCAAAGACGTCTGCTCTCTTGACAGGCTTGACAGCCAGCAATACCACATCTGCTTCCCGCACTGCACGGACATTTTCCTCTTGGGTAAGGATTGTGAGTCGTGACGAGTGTTCAGATAGGGTATTTTCAACCCGCCGCTTTGACGGTTCGGTTCCAACAGTCGCGGTAATATGCTTGACTCCGAGGTCAGTCATTTCTTTTGGACTCAGAATACCGGCAGTAATTGCAGTTCCCAGTGTCCCTGCTCAGAACCACTGTCAGCACTGTCCGTGTACTTGAAAAGGCGGCTATGATAGCAAATTCCTTACCACAGCCGATGACGGCAACTGTTAGTTGAGCGTTAATTCCCATGTTTGCGATGGTCGCCACGTCCGGAGGTATTTATCAGATTGACAAGTTGGTAAATACTCTTGAGCATTAAGAGTGGCTTTTTTAACTATATATTATCACTTGCGGCCCGAGAACAGGTGAGCTTTGGTACCCTTGATCTCGGTCCGACAAAGGTCGGAGGGCAGATCCGATAGTTAACCTTCCCCGCATAATGCTCTGCGAGGATCGAAAATCTAATACACTTGAAAAAGTTGTGATAATCTTGCGGAATCAATTATTCTACTTTTATAGCTGATCTGCTTTGGTTATTCTTTATATCAGTTTAGTATAGCCTCTGGTAGATACTGACCAATATCTTAGATTATCTATTAGTATACTAACCTATATAGTAAGCTGATACTAATTACAAATATATACTATATTCTCCGATCTTGGTTTCTAAATCCTCAAGTATTTCGGTATACAACTCTATACTATAGTCTTGTATATTATCAGATAGAGAGAAATATAACTCAACTGACTTCCCCAAAATAATATAAGAATAGAGATATTGACAGCGAATTAAATAAATATTCTATAAGCCAGTAGATGTATATATATTACATTATACAAGAGACAGATAAACTGCAAGTATTATAATCTTATTAGAGCAGAGATACTTATCAAAGCTTTGAGTTGCTGTTAAATATTAAAAATACTTGTATATAGTATTAGTAAATATTTAGGAGATTATATTAAAACTTCTGGAATAGTAATATCTATTAATAATAAATTAAATCTTTAAATAACTGATCTTATAAAGGTTCAATTCTTTGATTTACAGTACTTATTCTATACCGAAAGTACTTATTAAGCTTAATCCCTGGTTAAGTTTGCTTAAAAAGTTGATAAAATATAGCAGCTATCACTGGTGTCTCAAGTCCTCGATCTGTATATATTATATAAGATAAGAGCTCTGTATCTTAACTGTCTGAAAATACTGCTGAGCAATACTTATAGTAGTCTGGTTGGAAATATTAATATATACCCAGATAATGTACCGACAGTATATATCAATTACTGCATATACCTTAATTCCCCAATATTATAGATTACAATATCTCTCAATAGACCAGAGATAGTTTGGATCTGGGATAATGTATGCTCCTCTATACTGGTAAAGAGTATCTATACAATGTATAACACCTAAACGGTTTTAATGCTTTGATTCAAGCCTAGTCGGTATGCGGTGTGATAATAATCCAACATACTTTATTAGATTCAATCAATTTAATAGTACGGTGTTGGACCTCAGCGTAATCTACCGGATCCCATTGATTTCCGATCTACTCTGGCACATGGCAGGCAGTCAGAGTGCTGCTGCTGCTGACATAGGAGTCTTTGACGCAACGGATACTCGAGAATCTGAGCAGAACATTTATCGAATTTGCCTTGTCGTTTGTGCCGCTGGACCTGGCTCCACCAAAGGGATGCGCGCCGATGATGGCGCCGGTGCTCTTGTCATTGATACAAAACATCCCAACCGAGTCACGAAGCTTCTCATCAGCAATTTTGACAGCCCTCCTATCGCGGGCGAAGACAGAACCTGCCAAAGCATACTCCGAGGTGCTGTCAATAAGCTCGCATACATTCTCAAAGCCAGTGGGTGATGCATCATCGTATGTCTGAACGGCGAAGACGGGTCCAAAGAGCTCCTTGGTCATTAGGTCTGACTCCAGACCCTTGACAGTCGGTTTCATTTCAAAAATAGCAGGCTGAACAAAGAAGCCCTTATTGCCGTTTGCGTTGCCGCCGTAGATTAGTTCATGGCCGTCTTCCTGGGCGCGCTGGACAAATTGTTCAAACCGCTGAAAAGCTGCCTCTGAGATCATTGGGCCTAGAGGGTGATGAAGCTGTTTAACACCATCGCCGTGTGTCATCTTAGATGCTTCTCGCACCAGCGCCTTTTTCAGATCGCCTTGCTCCCACATAGTTTTCGGGACAACCAGACGGGATAGAGCACTGCACTTTTGGCCTTGGAACTCGTACGCCGAACGAACTGCCGCGGACGCCAACCAGTCAACGTCATCCTTGCAGGAGTTATGTATAAGATGGAAGTTCTTGCCGCCACTTTCCCCAACAATCCGTGGGAAATTCTTGTAAATGTTTGTATTCGTACCGATCTGAGTACAGAGTGCTCGCAAGACAGCTGAAGACCCGGTATAATGCAGACCGGCGAAATGAGGGCTGGTAACAGCTGGCTCAACGACTTTAGTCGGATCCTCCATGGGTAAAAACTGGATAACGCCCTTTGGCATACCAGCTTCCTCCATAATTTGGTAGAGTATGTAGTTCGACAAGACGGCCATAGGCGAGGGCTTCCAAAGGATGACATTTCCTAACAGAGCGGGTGTGAAAGCAATGTGTGCTCCCAACGCGGTAAAGTTGAAAGGCGAAATAGCAAGCACAAAGCCTTCTAGGGCTCGGTAGTCAAGCCGGCTCGTTGACGATTCAAATTGCTTGGGGGGTTGCTGGTCATAAAGCTGGGCGCAAAAATAGACGTGGAAATTCAGAGTATCAATGACTTCCGCGATACAGTCGCCCTCTGCCTGCCCACACGTTTTTCCTTGGCCGATCATGGATGCCGCGATCAACCTCCACCGGTATTTGGGTGACTCGACAAGTTTTGCAGCCTTCTTGTAGATGGCGGAACGGTCCTTGAATGACATGTTGGCCCAATGCTTTCTCGCCTGCAGGGCGCCTGGAATGGCCTTCGCCTTGATGGTCTCTGAATCCACTTCATGGTACTCTGCTAAGGGGGCGCCATATCGGTCCCAGGGGTTGTCCTGTTTGCTCTTATGGCCAGTGTGGATACGTTCGCCGTTGATAATACTCGGGATCTCGGAGACGGTGCTTTCCATTTCTGCAAGGGCAGCTTTCAAAAGTTTCCTCTCTTCTGAGCCGGGCTCATAAGACAGCTTATAAACCACAATACGTTAGAACCAGTTCGTGCCCATAGTTTCTACCTTTGGGGAAGGGGGGAGAAGGGACATACCCCACCAGCGTTCGCTGGCTCTGAATACTGTACTGCTGGCATTTTGGAGTGTAGATACGACGTAGTCAAGATAAAATCCGAACGACAATGAATGGCACTATAGATTGACAAGAAGACGATGCTGGTGCTATTTATCCACTCAGAGATAGGCCAACAGCTTCTCGGTCCGGCATTTGAGATGTTGCTTGCCTAGTTCCAATAAGAAATCTGAATCGGTCTCGCCAGCCGATGAACAACTAATTATGAGTTTCTGTCGGTCCGAGAAACCTTCAAGCAGCGGGGAAAGTCTTCTCATGGCGACTGGAAGGGGGATATTACGTCGATCATTTATTTCAATTGTTATAGCAAATCCAAAAACAATAAAGAATGAGGATGAACAGTACATTTCTTATTCTCAGTGGGACAACCCGATATCCATAGCGGCCATGACCTTACGGTCAACGGTCAACCTGAACACTTGGACTTATTACGAGTAAAAAGGTAGAAAACGCCTGCAAATTTCACGACCCAAACGCGACCTCTCAGCAACAGCGCCACCTCGCCCCTCGAGAACCGCCTTATTTTCCGTGGCCCGTCTTGCTAGGAACGGCAGCGATTCTTTGAGGTCGCCGTAGCTCATTGACTGTATTGACAAGGACGCGAAGTTAGCATGACCATGATGGCAACTTTCCATACTCAACGGAATGTAGTGAGTTTACCTTGACAACTAGTGGAAATCCACCTGCAGTGGTAATAGACCCAGTGATTTTGTTGGTAAGGTCGTCCTTCATCCCTGCGAAGACTCAGAATAGCATTCTCTTGAAGAAGGATGGCGGTGACGTACCATATAATTGCGCAAAGGCAATGCTACCAGCAGCTTCACTAGATATCACAAAGGTGTCTTTTCCAGGCTGCCGTTTTGCCATTCCATACTTCTCCAGCAACTTGATCCCAAGATCAATGCTGATAGAGTTGTGGGTAGCAAATACGACACTGATCTTCGACTGACCAGTCTGCTGAATTTGATCAGCCACGGTGGAGAGTGTCTTCTTGATTCCATAATTGAAGCTGGCATCGGTTTCTGCTTTTGTGGGCCACACTGGCCCCGGTCCCTCCCTGCCTTCCCTTTTCCATCTCGCGGCTTCAGTAACCATGTAGGCACCCCTCACCTGCTTGAAGAGTAGTTTGTATCCCTTCTTATCCGCACGCTCAATCTGTTGGTTCAACAACTGAGGGTGCCTGCGGAGGTAGGCCTGGAACGAAGCGATACATGTAGCAGGGCCGTCCAACGTGTTATATTTCTGCATGAGCTCATCGGTCAGACTGTCAATAACTGGCTGATACCATGATTGCTCGGCATCAATCACAATCCGCACGTTACTCTCGCGTGCCTTGCTGGCAATCTTCTCCAAAACGGTGCGTAGGCCCACTAGCTCTTTGCGATCCGCATCCGTAACGCCCTCTCCATTCAAGGCTGCTTCCCAGTCGCCATCATGGGGCAGCCCAGGATACGGGACGTCCTTGTCCAATCCTTTCTCTTCCCTTGCCTTGAGGATAGCATTGGAGCCGCGGTAAAGAGCAACCGGGTTGGGCAACAAACCAGTCACCTTGATTCGGACCCAGAAACGGTTATCACCTCCAGTAGCGCTGGTGTCAGGCCATAGTCGGCGAGCCATTTTGCCCTGTGCCTCAATGGAAGACAAAACATGCTCGGTTTGCTCGAGAATAAGTTGCATATCCTTGCTAGAGCCATCCAGCTCAGCTTCGATGTTATAGCCAAGAAGGGTACCGATTTCTTCCTTGTGCAGAGACTCTATCTTGGGGATGCACTCGGATATCGTTTTCCCTCCAAGGAATTGGTTGAAAAATGTCCGCATGACGATGGCATTGGTGATGGAAGACACAATGGGGATTTTCGAAAGAACATTGTAAAGAGACTCGCTCATGCCGACCCAAGTTGGAGAGGAGCAGAACGCGAAGGCGCTATACACCGGTCATTATCAGCAGATGAATGAGGAACAATGCTATGCTAGGTGCTTAGGTCTATACTTACACCCAGCCGGAAAGGAGCTTTGTTAATGGAACCATCGAGAGGGCTTTCCTGTCGCGTGGATCGTCTGGACAATCGCACCGACTGCGTCCCGTCCACATCAATCCCAAAATGGCCAGGCCGCCGCCGCCTGCAGCATATAGAGCCCTTTTGGCGTTGAAACGGGATTCATCTGTTCTGGTGGATGGGTTCCTCAATGTTGATGCCGGTCTAATGTTGTTACGAGACACCGCAATCAAGGGGCGTCGTTGAGTCACAAGGAACAGGCGTTGTCTAGCAGGTATGGGAAACATCATTTCGAACAGTATGGAACGAAGTTGTATGACTGGGATTTTAGGTGAATGAACAAAACTTGCCGTGAGATATGTGAATGAAAAAGAACCCCTGCGAATAGATATCTCGGCCCGGCAAGTACATGCATGGCCTTGGACATTGGTCACCGGCGCACTCGGGCCGAGAGATGATTCAACATATGGGCTCGGCCAGAGGTAACTGACGTATTAATCGATACATTTGGCATAAATCCATTGTTCCTAGCTCTAGTATAATGAAAGGCGACTCTATGTAGATAGCAAAGTGAAGGTCGCCGACCCCAAGAATTCACTCTAACTATTTGCAACATCAATCAGGTGTCATTGTTAAGCCAATGTCCTCTCTTACCATACATTTTCCTGTAGAAGAGTCGACGTCTACGAAACAGTGGTCATGTGCTTTCACGGTGCATCGAAATGGATGGAAGGGAATTATGACACTAGCTCTTGCATGCTTTTTGCTACTTGTGGGACCCTTAGCATTGTGGGGGATACTTATGTGACAGCTCTGCGCATTCAGACGTTATATGATAAAGGGACATCACTGGGTCTTGGGTACAGAATTCTCTTCATTGTACGGTTCTACCCTACAAAAGATCGTGTATTCAGTTTCTATAGCGTAAAGAAGCGGCTTCTTCTCTTAATCTGGTCTTTCCCTGGACTATAAGAAAGCAACAATAACGCCAATGTTCTCAATGAGCTAGTTCTCACATACTCGGCTCCAAAGGGGGCATCTCCCAGAAGAGATCTCCGTCTAACAAGTTAGCCAGACTTTGCATATGTAAGTTTTGATTGACGCATTTTTCTGGGAGGTTAAACATAGTATCATTAGAAGCAACGCGGTAGTTGTGACCACCAATCCCATCTGCCAAAACTCGAGCTGCCTGCAGGGCTGGATCCTCAGATTCGAGTCTGGTTGACCGGATATCCATACGCGGAACATCGTAGATTGGCTGTATTCCGAGATCTGATTGCTCAGCTGAGCACTGGGACATGGCAGGATTTAAAAGCTCTACCAACGAGTCCAGGTACGCGGCATTTAGGGCGACAGTATCTTGTGGTGATAGCACGGCTTTCTTTATGTGATCAGTGATGTCTTGAATAAGAGTGATAGCTGTTTTTTGAAAGGCCGGGCCAGTGCTACAGTTTCCTGGAAGACAGAGAAGTAGGCATAAGAACAATGCTGCATTTGGGGCCAATAGGAGGACAACATCCGGAGCTCGCCTTAGATCCTCAGGTGGGAAACTGATCAAATGACGCAGCGTCCCAAACGCGCCTTCGATGCTGCTCGTCAGCCCCGGAAGATCAGGAGGCAGAGCCTGTTGGATGGTCATCAGATCAAGATCCATAGGCACATTGCCAGGTTGGCGCCCAGGGTCTAAACATGACGCCATTGAGGCCATTAGTGATTGCCGGAGTATTGAGGATGCGACGTTAAGTCTGACACTGTGCTCCCATAGATCTATCAACACAGTGACATGGTACCACCCCGGATTGAGGGATGGGTCATCATTTGATTGTGGCCTGTTTTCACCCTCAAAATGATTTTTCCATTTCGATCTCCACGCTCTCAACTCCGTATCCATGAGGTCCAGAAGACATGGCAGCATGATCGATGAAGCTTGTTGAACCAAACCGCGTAACTTTGACTGGATACGCCGCAAATCAGCGCTGCAGCAGGCAACGAAGTCCGACGGCAATGCATATTGCATCTTGAGCCAGGTATTCATATCACCAAGTAAAGATATATCTTCATCCTTTTGACTGATCGATGGCTTTCGCATGAAAAACAGGCTTTGCTGTCTGTCCTGCCGGTATAATGCGAGCCATGTTCTCCGGTGTCTCGCTACCTGCCGCCCATCACCATCGCTTTGCTCCACGTCTAAATCATGCATAATGCGAAAGGCGTAGCCGCTGTGAAGGTACGAGACGTCATCATCCGCATCCTTCCAGCAAACCAGCAAATAAAGTGCCTGCATTGTCTCGATGGACCTGTCGCCCTCCGCCAGGGTTCTGATCACCAGGTTTCGAGCTAGACTACAAAGCCGGCTCTGTATGAAAGGGTCTGTGGCCGAGACTATGCATCCATCAATATAATTGGCGAACTTGGATGCGCAAAAGAGGATCGCTGCAAACAGCAAGGAGCTGCGCCGTTGAACATCGTCATGAGTGTCGATTTTGGGATCAAGGATATACTCCCATTTGGCATTCATGTGTATCATGAAGAATTCAAACAGCGCTTTTGATGCCAATGAGCTGATTATGCCTCCCTCAACTGGGTCCTTAATGGTCTGACCCAGCGTCATGGACGAGAGGTAGGTGGGCATTTTGACCACGCCGGTGGGCCGACGGTCATCATCATTCATATCACGATGAGCATCAATGTCTAACGGACGGAGGAGCCATGAAAGTTTCAGCGAATATGGTGTCATTTGCGAATGCTCCAAAGATTCTGGTTGGGAATCACGCGCAGGACCATCACTCGCACCTGGTTGAACACTGAATGTGGGGCTGTCTCCCGACGTCACAAAGCTGAACGGTGCGCCTCTCTTTCCCTTGAGAGTGCCTAATGCCGCGATCACCCTTGCACGGATTGCATTGGTGATCACTGGTTGTTGCTGTTGCGATACCTGCGGTTGGCTATCAACGGGAATGGGCCTTTGGCTGTTTGACGGCGGAGGCTGAGGTAGAGAACTAGGTTCATTCTGTGACGAAGGGCTTATATGTGTAGTGGATGTAACATCCTCCACGGGCTGTCGAGTATTATCTTCGCTAGCCCTAGGCTGATGTCTCCGACGCTGTGGATACGGCTGGGTCCTCACCCTAGACCTCTTCGTTTGAGCAAAAGCACAGTCGGAATCATTCGTGATACATCGATCACATCGGTCTCGGTGTTGTGAGATTAGGCAACGCACTTTCGCTTTGCGGCATGCAAGGCAGGCACTAGAAATGTCGCATCAGTATTGTATGTACGTTTTGATTAAGTAACAAGCCATTCCGCCGGCACGATCTGCACAGAGAGAACTCACGCAGAAGCACGGTGCAAGTCAGTCGGCGTAGCAGTTGATGGTGCCATTCAGTAATGTAATTGAATTGTTGGCAGAGTAAGTGACGGGCCGAGATGAATATCATGAATAGATAGTGATAGTAGTGAAGAAGATATGCCAGCACAGGGCACGGGATCGCCTACCGCACAGAATTCACGGAACTGGCCTCCGACTTCCCCTCGCATCTTCCATCTCGGCCCGGCAGCTGCAGAACAACCCCTCTTGTAACTTGTAACGGCTAACTGGTTTATAAAAGAGTTGGGAAGTGGGAAATGTGAGATGGAGTGTACTCCCAGCTCAACGTTTGCACTCTCACCCTCAGCTATATTCAATCGATTTCTCATTTCTCCTTCCATCCACATCCACCAAAATGCCAGGCCGTCTCGAAGGAAAGATTGCCCTAGTTTCCGGCTCAACTCAAGGCTTCGGGCGCGGAATTCTTGAGACGTTCATTCGCGAGGGTGCAGTGGTCTTAGGCATGGACCTACAGGCCACTGACGGCCCTGTCGCTGGCTACCCCGAGCATCAGGCCTATCAAATCAAAGCCAACGTTGCCGAAGAGCAAAGCTGGAAGAAGGCTGTGAGACTATCCAACAACCCTACTGATATTTCCGGCTCAGTGTTGCTGATTCAAAAGTTCTATAGCTCGAGACTTCGATCACCAAGTTCGGAAATGCTCCCTCCATCGTTGTCCACAATGCCGGATGGTCATACCCGAACAAGTCCGGTCTCGATGTCACCGTGGAAGAGTTTGACCGTCTCTTTAATGTGAACGTCCGGAGCATTTACCTTGCTTCTAAGATTCTCATCCCCGAGATGAAGAAGAACGGTCCTGGCTCCACGGTGGTCATTTCTAGCGAGAACGCCATTCGACCAGGCGCCACCCAGACATGGTACAACGCTACCAAGGCCGGCGTTTCTTCAGCCACCAAGTCCATGGCCCTAGAGTTTGCAAGAGACCAACTCCGCTTTAATACGATTTGCCCCACCTCAGGAAACACTCCGTTGCTGAACAAGTTTGCTGGTATTGACGCTGGACCTGTTCCTGCTGAGATCATTAAAGCGAAGTGTGAGGCGATCCCCATCGGTCGCCTGGTCGAACCGTCCGATGTCGCCAACGTTGCTCTCTTCCTGGCGGAACCTGCGAGTTCTATTATTAGCGGTGTTGAGATTCTAGTAGATGGTGCGCGCTGTGTATAAAACGAAGCTAGCAGGAAATGAACCCTAGTGTTTCAGCTAAGAGTATACCCATACGTATCTTAGCAGGCCTCTAGCTCAGTTCTCAATCCGATATTGCCATTCAATTATATTCAGAACTGTAACTTATTTGCTCCATTCGTAACTTGCTATTAATCTGAAATACTTGGTCACCCACATGCTCTGCGAAGGGTACTGCCGCTGCTTGAGATGATGGTACCCAAAATCAAGAAAAGACTTAGAAAGACCAAGTAAGCGTATGTCTAATGGGAGACACTCAAAGTGCTGTTTGGAAAGCCAGGCAAGACCTTCCAGCGTCCCAGGCTCCAGAAATCATCACAGAATAACTGTCGATGCCCCAAGAGACGGACGTCTCGTGTTTGAGCAATCGCAGTACCCGATTGTTGGTCTACAAGAACTTCCTCGGCATTATAATAATACCCAGGATACACTGTTTTAGCATGAAAACACATTCCAGTTGGCTCGAACACTTTTGTAAGCCAGTGGGATGTCGAATCGAGATAGTACTGAACGAACGACCTACCCCTTCATTACCGCCAGTTGTGAAATCTCCACAGACGTTGAGTATCAAAATAGAACCACGGTTACTGCATGACCTAGATAGGAATGTCCATCTTCAAGCAATCAAGTAACACTTTAATCAACCCCCTCATGGCGTTGATATCGGGAAGGGGTCCGAGAACTCGGCGCGGGGTGAATCGTCGGACGCCTCCCGATCTTATCGACAGTCGACGACACCATAAATCAGGGCAAAACTACGTGGTTGACGTTAGTAACCAAACAGCTCTACGCATGGATTGAACATCACCCAATCAGTCAACTTTCTATTAAGTGTGGTTGCTCCAGGGTTGCATCGGATAGGGGTCCGGCGTTGGGGTCAGCCATGCTCAGACCTCCATATTGCTATCATCATATGTGTGGGTTGCAAGTTATAAATATGGCGGACATAACAGAGTGTAGAAAATACAAAAATCGACCTTTTCGAAGAGAAAGAACGGTGCCTTATCATTAAGCATCATGTTTTCCATCTCACTACCTACCATTGGCACACTTTCAAACAGCCAAACCAACGAAGCAAAGACTTCCCAGGTCGAGGTTCACACAAAGGAAATCAAGTCTCCCACTGCGGTGCCCAACGCTGCCACCGAAATGGATCGCTCCGCCGCACAAAGCCCTGGATATCGTTTGGATCAGTACAAGCACAGCAATCCGTTGATATCCGAGCGTGCCATTGATCAGCCGAGACGCCTTAAGGTCATTTACATCGGCGCCGGAATTTCAGGCATTATTGCAGGGATCCAATTCATGAAGGCGGTTCCAGATCTGGATTTGGTCATTTATGAAAAGAATCCGGAGCTGGGAGGGACATGGTACGAGAATAAATATCCCGGTTGTGCGTGTGGTACGGCAGAGCCTTAACCCTGGCAGTGAACTTGGCCGATGTTTCCCTGAGCTGACCCTGTCAATAGATGTTCCATCCCATGCCTATCAGCTCAGTTTCGAATCCTGGACCGGATGGAGTCACTTTTTCTCGGGGTCACAGCAGATTCTTGAATACTGGAAGAGAGTGGCCCAGAAATATGATATTCGCAGACACATCAGGTTCCTGAGCCGGTGTGCAGGTGCACGGTGGAACGACGTAACAGGAAAGTGGTTTGTACAGATCCAAAATGTGGAAACAGGTGAAGCGTTTGAAGATTCTGCGGATATCCTCATGACCGGGACCGGGCTCCTCAACGAATGGAAGTGGCCAAACATCCCTGGGCTACAGAAATTCCAAGGGCCGTTGCTCCATAGTGCCAGATGGGATGAGAATTTCGATAGCAAGGTAGGCAACTTCATCGCCCCTCCCGACCTGCATTTCTTTCTGTCCTTCTTCAGTCTCACTTAAACATTTCTCGCCGACTCTCTAACCACTCTTTTATTCTCTAGGACAAGCATATTGCTGTCATTGGAGCTGGAAGCAGTGGTATTCAGATTGTTCCCGCTCTAGTTGATAAGGTCAAGGCCATGGACCATTATGTGCGCGGAAGAACGTGGATTTCCAACCAACACGGTGGAGATCGCCTGGCCACACGAACCAGTGGTCTGGGAGGAAATTTCGAGTATACCGAAGAGGAGAAATGGTCATGGCGAGAGGATCCGATTGCGTACACCAAGTACCGCAAACATCTCGAATTTGAGATACAGACACTCTACCCCAAATCGCAGCGAGGAAGCACTGTCCAGAAGGCTGTCACGGCTCAATATACAGCAGACATGCGGCGCAGGCTGGAGGCAAAACCCGAGCTTTTGGAGCAACTCCTGCCCGAATTTCCACCTCTTTGCAAGCGTCTGACCCCGGGACCTGGCTATCTGGAGGCTCTGACCTCCCCCAAAGTCAATGTGATCGGAAGTGCAATCACAGAGATTGATGAAACTGGAGTTATCACTGCAGGTGGTAAGCACCGGCCTGTTGATGCCATTATCTGTGCAACAGGCTTCGAGACTAGCCCCGGAAGCGGCTTTCCAATTATTGGTCGGAATGGAGTCAATCTTCGCCAACGGTATGCTAATCGTCCTGAGACATATCTCGGACTCTGTACGGATGGCTTTCCCAACTTCTTCCAGTCGCTCGGGCCTAGTTCCTTCCAAGGAGCGGGTAACTTGCTTATCATGATTGAGCAGCTCCATATATACGTCGCAGAGATTGTCTCTAGGATGGCGTACGACAATATCGGACAGGTTGAGCCCAAGAAACAGCAGGTCCAGAACTTTACCCATTTCGCGGAGAGGTACTTTGAGCGCACTGTTTACAGCGCGGAATGTGCCAGTTGGTATAAGTCGGCGCCGCCAGGGGCTTCCCTCGAGGAGCGAAAGAGAGGCCGAGTCACTGCTTTGTGGCCCGGAAGCAGCTTACACGCAGTAAAGGCACTGAAGCGTGTCCGATGGGAGGACTTTGAGACAAGGCCATGGGATGGCAACGAATTCGGTTGGTTTGGCAATGGCTGGACGGTGGGAGAGAAAAATCCACAGTATGAGGACGATTCCTTCACATGGTACTTGAATCAAACCGCGTTTGTTGACACTGAAGAGTTGAAGAGCTAGTTAGATAGTTACAATATGAGAATCTCTTGATATTAGACTAACGAAGCGTTTATCTATAGAGGTAGTCAGAGCCAAGGAGATCGTACATTAGCAGCAGGCTTCAATTGTCACGTAACGTATTCAACCTAACTCAATTATTGATGCCGTCCTGTTGCCCATCCAGCGTATTGGAACTATCTGAAAATGTCACCCAGTTCAGCACACTACACCCATCCAACATATCTACCACCGTCATCAGCTGTGCTGGGATCAACTCTGGTTCCCATTCATACGGATCCACTGGCCCCGAAGAACCGGCCATCATACCAGCATTCACATCCCCAATGCCTGAAGCAGCGCCATCGGACTGAACAGCCCTATTTGTACAAAACATTTCACTACCGCTCAAGTGTTCCCGCGCCATGACTTCGGCATCTGCAAGCTGAAGCCAATGGTTGCCATCGTTCATTGGTGCGTGCAGAGCCGTTGGCAAATTTTCTAACTGTTCCAGTGCCATCTTGTGATCCACAGCGACGAGGTTTCCCTCGCTAATAAAATGGTCTAGTATGTCAAACAGTGTACTTCGCAGATACGAGTAGTCCTCGGATGAGTTGAAGTTTACCAGGGTGGCCATATATATCACCAGGCCAGCAGAGACAGCGCTATCCAGATCGAATGGTAGAAATATCTCTAAGGACAAAAGGTCAAATGGGATGTACGTAGCAATTATCGCCGGGGATCATCATACCAAGTAAGTTCTGGTCTTGAAAGGCACGCAGTATATCAATTGTTTTATTTGCAGATTCGAGACACATTTGCAAGAGTAACTTCATAGCTGCCGGAATCAGCGTCGCAATATCTGCACACTCAAGTCGCTTTTCGAGGAGGCTGAAAAGAAATGGGCGAGTTGCCAACATGATACACTGTCGTTATGTGTTATCTCAGTGAAGCGATAGCCAGCATCACAACAATCATACCTGTTGGTACAGAATATTCAGATATCCCGAAACACGTGAAATGCCGTTCACTGATCCCTTCTCGGGCACTGGGAAATAACTGGCGAGCTCTGGGGCCACATTCGCAACACCTTGAAGCACTCTTTGTGTGCTCCTGACCAAATTAGAATCTATCTGGTGGTCCTTCCGATAGAGAGCTGGATCCGTATTAGTATCTTGAAGCGTGTTGCGTATGAGGGTTCGGCATTCATACTATCCATCACTTGACCAAATGCCTGAGATAGCTTGACATGCATAGTCATCGTGATACTCTTGGGGTGAGAGTCTGGATACGCGGGTAGCGGCGTACTGATCTCGTCGTCGTTGATCCCCAGTGGCACCCCCATCAGAACTGTAAACTGGCGCTCAAGGATGAAAACCGTCCACCACACATTCCGAGACCGTTGCGTTTCGCGTTCATCCAATGTTCCCGAAGGGATGTTGGTATGGTACCCATGGACTAGCAGCATTCGCAACGCTCTCCCAATCTATGGCCTCCTGGTCAGCACTCCTAGATCACCGACGTCCACACCACAACCCCGGTCTCCAGGGGCAAGAAGTGAGAACCAAGGAAAGATAGACTGACCATGTCATACGCAGGAGTTCTCCAATCAATAGACTGTAGGTACAAGGCCATTGAGCAAAACAACTCCGCCGATGTACTCGGATCTCTCCATAAGTGACAGTAATCTGGGAGCATCATGAAAGCCATCATGAATAGATTGGCCCCTGGTGGGACCCTGCCTCGGCGCTTTGTTCCAGTGAAAGCTTTCCCGAGAGCCATTATGACGCTGAAGTGGATAAACCATAACCCCGTTGTATGAACCTTCTCGGCTGGATTCTCGTAGAAATGATGCAACTGATCTAGGAAGGCCGATTCATCGAAAAGATGGAATATCTGGCCAGTATGGAACTTCACGGCGTTGGTAAGGAAGAGAGCGTAATCCAGCGAAGGAAGCTCGCTCATATCTGGGATGACAGTTGTCCGCAGGCCACTCCATCCTAAATCATATGTTGTGGCATCTGTATGCTGAGCCGCACTGGGAAAGGGACAGCTACGACAGGCTTTGTTGGTGAGATGAAGGAGGCGGATTGTCAAGGACCAATTTGATGTGTGTCCCAAGTAATCTATGCCCAGTCAAATCTGTTGGCTACCATCCTCAACGAGGGTCCGAACTTACGTGGATTCCCTGCCAAATCTCGCACGTATTTGGGCGGCCCCATGGAGAATGGGTTGAGTATTTCTGGCCCTTCTAACCCAGATCTGGAGATCGGGGACACATAACCGTTGCAGGTATTTGCCTGTCCATCCACCAGGCCGCCGCTGTGGTCGACAGGATCCATTACCGGAGGTTTTCTAGAACTGCTCGACAAGCGTTGGTGCAAGTCTTGGTTCTCTCTCTCGAGCTCCGCCGTCCTGCGTCTCAATTCTGCCAGGTGCTTCTTCGTAATCTGGATCTTATTTTCGTCGCCCTCGAATATGCACTGTGCTTTCCTGCGCTTGCAATTCCTGCACGGATGCTCGCCAGTACACTTTATCTTGTGTTGACGACATCGTAGGCAGCTGAGCCCAGTTTTACCAGAGTCAGTGAACAAGTCGTGCAGGGATTGGATGGACAGCCTTAAAACTTCGAAATATCTGGAGTTTGGGGGTTGAGGAAACCTACGCGTTGACTGCACGTCTGTTCGGGGGATCACCAAGGATCTTCTCCATGCAAGGCTAAAGTCGCTATATTCAGAGGAATGGGTTGAATGGGTCTGACAGCAGGGGCCTTGCTACTGACTTGACGTCGTCGGAGTACTAGTCCGCATGGATGGACATGGACAGCCTTTTAAGGGCACAACCCCGCAGTAAACTTGGCTTGGCTTGTCCTATGAGCTCCGGTCCAACTCCCGAGTGGCGCGTCAAAGATATACATCCACCCACTTAACGTGATAACCTGCCAGTCAAATATAGTTTACGAGCTTGTTTTGACCGAAACTCGCTTGACCAGCGTGTCTGGGCCTGGTTAAACCATAGCGCTATCCTCACTCGCCACTCAATTCGCAATAACAGCTGATTAACACATTACATTCAGGTAGAGCCATCAATCATCATTTGCTCGATTGCTTGCAAGATGCACTGTGCTATCCAACTGTTAGAAGCATCTCAGTGTCATCTATACCAACTTTTAATCTCGGAGTCTCGTATGTTACAGATGAGCCTTGGGCAGAGTACTACTTCCACGCCATGTCTTGCAAAGCCCCTGATCTGACATTCCAACGACAGGGTCGTATTTTGGCTTTGGAACACCCCACACCTTTTCGAAGTCACCTCCAGTCGCAATAAAGTCCCAGTCACCTCCATTGTAGGCTCCCATCATTGTAAACCCATCCAGCTTGATCTCGGATAACGCTTTCTTTGGGTTCTCAGCCTCAATTCCATGTCCCTTTCCCGGTGACAAGAGCGCGAACTCAGCTTCAGGCTTGGTATTGTGTGTCTTGTGTGCTACACCAGCAGGGATAATAAAAACATCACCGGCTTCAGCCTCCAGGAGAACACCGCCTTCCTCCCAAGCAGATCCGTGGGTGTTCAGTTCCATATCTGGCGAGGTATCGGCGACACCAAATCGTATACTGGCAGTCCCGGAAAGAACAGCCATACACTCGTGCGCCTTGGAATGGTAATGAGACAGTTGTGTTGGGCCGTAACGGAAGATCCAGTGAACATTCCAGTCATTCTTCGTAAACATATCCCAGACCTCGGCTGGGTCGCACTGAGCGCTGTTGTGTCGCTTGGCTAGAACATTCTTGTAGTGTAGGAGAGGTCTGGGCGAGTTGGGGATAAGATATGTGGGGAGAAGATGGTACTGCCTCACTTCAACAACCATTTTAATCGTTTCTTCCCCTCTTTTCGTTTTCGATTCTAGAGAGTGATTATGTTGACCGACCTTCGACCGGCGTTGCTTGTAGATGATGTGTTTGTGTGGTCTAGACGTGGGGGGGGATGGGATTACACGAGTGGCCTATCGCCATTGATATAGTAACAGCTCCGAGACGAAACCCTTACCCGTGTATCGGTATATTTCCTGACTACTGGAATCAAATACCATACGGCCCGAGGGTCATTTGCTATAGGCACTGCAATGTATACAGCAGGACGGAGCACTATTATTCTGTTATGCAGTCCATTTCCAATCAAAATGGGCTATTCAAAAAAAAAAAAAAAAAAAAAAAAACACCGGACATGCCACCCGACAGGATATACCCTAACATGATCGGTCATCCGTTCCGAAACCCCGTTTGTCGGATGGCAACACCGACATACCTCATCCACTAATATTCATACTTTCAACATTCATCACTACCCCACACATTACTAGCAGGTTAATGGTGCGGGGAGATGCTGAGTGGTTGAGTATTCCTATGCATTCGGTTCTATATATCGGGTCATACGTGTTGCTCACTGACTCTGTGCCACCAAAGTGCTGCCTAAACTGAGACGGTATGCCTTTCCTCAAAGAGAGCAAACTCGCCTTCATTGGCGGCGGCAACATGGCCTTCGCCATGATCAGTGGCATCATCACGCAGGGTGTTCCTAGACAGAATATCTGCATCGCCGAGCCCTACGAGGTCAACCGCAACAAGATAGCCGTCTTGGGCGTGCATACCACCACCTCCAATATTGAAGCGGGCAGCAACGCCGACATTGTCATCATTGCTGTCAAGCCCCAGGTCGCTAAGGTCGTCTGCGAGGAATTGGGTGCCGCATGGTCGCAGCGTGCGACTCTCCCGATTGTCGTAAGTATCGCCGCCGGAATTACGTTAGAGAGCTTGAAGGGGTGGCTGCGCACAAGTGACCGTCGCACGGCGCATGCCGTTCGGGTTATGCCGAATACTCCTGCGCTGTTAGGGCAGGGTGCCTCTGGCGTATTCGCCAGTGCCGATGTGACGGCGCAGGAGAAGGAGTTGGTGAATACATTGCTGGGCGGTGTTAGCCAAGAAACCGAGTGGGTAGATAAGGAGGAATTGCTCGATGTGGTGACTGGGCTGTCTGGTGAGTTTTAAATCGTTATTATCCTGATGTTCTTCTCGTATCTTTCGTGGATGAGGAACAGACTGAGTGATGTGAAGGATCAGGTCCTGCTTACTTCTTTATCATGGTCGAGCATCTGATCGCCAGTGCCACCGCTCTAGGTCTGCAGCAGGAGCAGGCCACTCGACTGGCTACTCAGACATGTTTGGGTGCTGGTAAGATGCTCGTCGCGTCGTCTTATAGCCCGACCCAGCTGCGCGAGAATGTCACCAGCCCTAATGGAACCACGCATGCCGCTCTGCAGACATTTGAGGTGCTAGGATTCAAACATATAGTGGAAAAGGCAGTGATAGCCGCGACGAACCGTGCAGCAGAAATAGGCAATAAACTTGGGAAGCTATAGATATTAGATACTACAGTGTGATGGAGCAATGCAAAGATATTACAAAGGTATGTCTAAAATGTGAAAAGAACTACCATTATGTGTTCCTTGATTTGAAGCTTCTTGCGTGGCCTCATCAAACACGTTCATGATTAGCTCGGAGATATATCACTATCCCATCTAATGAAATATGGCAACTCGGCGAGCAGTTGATGGTGTATGAACGGCAGCCGTTGTGTACGGTATTTCTTGGGGCTTGCCGTATGATGTATCATGGGTATGTTCAGAGACTCATAGCCAACTAGGATTCCACGGGATGTGCTTTGATAAAGGTTCTGGGATACGAAGCGCCACAATTTATGCACGTTCTAAAGAAAGACGAGGTGGTTCGGTGCGTCGTTCAAGGCCGAAGCGAACACTCGTCTTTCCATAGTCACATAGATGAGATGCATACCTGAACACCCTCTCAGGGAACACTGCGCTGCTTGGGTGGTCTATCCCGGGGGAGATTCCCTCAAGACAATATGAATGCTTCAAGTATTTCCCCGGCAGGCATAGTAGCTCAACACCCGATAAGGCATACATGTAGCATGTCCATCCTCGATGCTCTCAAGCGTGGCGCCCCGTCCGATGCGATGGAGCGGCGAGCCTTATTCCAGATCGCTACCGAATACGAATCTGTACCTTATCTTTCCCAGAGAACAGGCTGGACGAACTTGTTTATTCCGGCTTAGACCGCCCACACACTACCTAAGCAGATTGTTGGGGATCTGCGCCAGTACTGTCGACGGCATGTGCCCACAAAACGGAATATCCATGATGCAGCTTCTGCGCAAGGATACGGCTTTCCCACGGCCAGCAATTACAGGTAAACGCCCTGCCAATGTATTCCTTGTGCGCCGCATTGTCTACGTAATTTTGCGTTTCCTGCTTGCATCGGTAGCATTCCACTGGAATATCCACGATAGGCAGACAATCTCTCGGCCCGGCGAAAAGTTGTGGAGTACAACACGTCGTCTCCACATTGAGAGGTCCAAATGAACCTCATAGGCCTGACCATCAGCTGGGTCTTTCTATTGCACCCTGAGAACCTAGATTGTGAGACTGCCTTCAGCCGGCCCGAGACATACGATTGAAGAATCGATAGAAAAGTATATTCCGTTGGATCCGCGTTATCCCAAGAACCACATATCTAAGATCAAAACTCCCTGGTTGAACTATGAGCTAAATGCATATCACGTCTACGAATCTTACAACCCAATCACACCCTTTTGATAACGGTAGCAGAGACCGTTAATACTGCCATTGCCAGAAATGGTAGACTTCCGTTGACATCTCCGCAACTAATTGACTGGTGTAGAGGTTAGCATAGCTAGGACTCAAACACAGTGCTTCCTTCAAACCACCAGTGGAAACTCGTCCTCTTCTATTCCGTCTTTGGTAGAATAACTCTGGCATCAGGGCAATGGTAAAGGGCAACCAGGTTAGACAGCAGACTGCTCACCTTTACTCGGCATTGAAGACATTCAAGTTATCAGTGTGGGAAAAGTTGTCTCACAGAGGCTGCTGCATGTAGGGACTAACGCCTTATCGCAGGGCATGATAGTGATTGAACTTAATATCTGTAGCTAGATTCTCGGCCCGGCAAAGAGTCAAGGACCTCGGATTCCGGGTCCTTACACGTAAGTGAGTGGCCAGTAAATGGCCGATTTTGGCCGGAATGACTGAACAAAAAGAATCAACACGCGTCCTTACTATACATCCCGTCCGCTACCATGACTGCTCTCAAACTCTATGCTTACCGAGTTGATGAACTTCGAGGAGCGATGAGATTTTGTTATATCACTAAGAAACCTTCTCCAAACCAGAATTACTCCATCAGTATACATTACTCAGTCAAATTCTTCATTAATAAAACTGGTAGGACCTGGTAGAACGTTTGATGCGTGTGATATGGTAAAGTATATGGGCATGTGGCGCTCGTATTCGTAGCCGATGGCCTCATGAATGTTCAAGTAGGATGATAGAATCTTATTGATTGTCCGACTTGATAAGGTTCCATCCATTACCCCGTATTTGTTTCTCCATACTCCACCTTTCACTATGGGGATGTAGGTCCATGTGGTTCGGTCCGAGCAAATAAGCCTCCATTGCAATAGCTTTCCCCAAACACTAGGCGCATATAAACACCCCATTACCCTTACTTGCCCCTTTTCCATTCCATACAAAATCTATTTTCCCTTATTCGCACTAGAAGCACTTAGTTTATAATGAACAAATCTAAGGAATGCACGGTTCCCGATGGGCACGGCGTTGATGGTGAGGGTTGCCACGATTTGGCCCCTGGTGTGTGTCAGAAGCCAGCTGTTCAGGCACCTCAGGATCTATTCAATCAAGAAACGGGCGATGTCGACTTCTGCGGTGTCTCATGGCAAGGCGCTGCCATCCTCATTACCAAGTTTCAGATTGGCCTTGGTGCTCTCAGCCTTCCATCCACTTTCCACATTTTAGGTTTCTTCCCTGGCATCATATGTTTCATCGTCCTGGCTCTGATAACAACAGTGGCTGGCTATATGTGTGGGAACGCTCGGCAATACTATCCCCACATGCATAGCATTGGCGATGCAGCCGAGTTGCTCTTCGGAAAAGGAGCACGAGAGCTAGTCGGTGCAATATACTATGTCTATCTTGCCCTAGTGGCTGGAGCAGGAATGCTTGCCACTTCTGTCGCACTCAACACGTTGTCTGATCATGGTGCTTGCTCTATGATCTTTGTCGCTGTCACCTCGGCTAGTGCCCTTCTACTTGGGACGGGATTTAGGTCTCTAGAAAAGGTATCCTGGCTCAGCTGGATTGGCGTTGCTGGCATTATCATCGCCATTTGGATCACAGCAATCGCATGCCTCACCCAAAATCGACCAGCCGCAGCCCCGTCGACTAGCCCGATCAACCTAGACATCCGTGTCTTTCCCAACGCAAGTTTCTCCGAGGCAATGGCAGCAATATCCAGCCAGTTATTTACCCTGGGTGCATCAGGCACATTTTTCTCCGTTTCGGCAGAGATGAAGAGTCCCGAGCTTTTTACCCGCTCCCTGATCCGTGGTCAGTCATTTATTGTTATAACAAATATAGCCATCTCTTCTATTATGTACGCCAAGGTTGGTCAGTATCTCGCAAGCCCGGCCCTAGGATCAGCTGGCCCATTCATTAAAAAGATCTCATATGGCATCGCATTACCAGGCTTAGTTGTAACGGCCGTTCTCTGGAGTCATGTTGCGGCAAAATACTGGTTCGTCAGGATTCTTCGCGGCACGCCACATCTTCAATCTAATACCGTCGTGCACTGGTCTGTCTGGGTTGGATCCATGGTTATCACCGTGATATTTGGATTTGTCATCGTTGGAGTCGTACCCTTCTTTGACAATTTCTTGAGCTTAGTTGGCGCACTTGTGAATCCCGTCTTCACTAACATTGTTCCTGGCTTCATGCTTCTTTATTTTCTTGCTAAAAGACCTACAAGGGCGGTAGATGGGGTTCAGCATATAGACACGGAACGCTCAGTTTCAGTGAGAAAGTGGCTACTGGAGGCATTCAAGGCATATCGAAATGGGTGGAAGGAAGTCATGGTGCTTACTCTTGCATGTTTTATGATACTCACGGGGGCACTTATCATCGTTGGAGGTACTTATGCGACGGTTCTAGTGATCAAGGCATCCTATGACGAAGGAAGAGTATCGGGAGTCTTCTCGTGTGCAGACTCCTCCTAGGCTGCTTAGCAAAAGCAATACTGCGTCTTCGATTGAGTGTCACGATGCAATGTAATAGTTTGCTCTCCGTTTCGATTGATGAACAACACAACATTGAGGTACTAGAGAGATACGCTACAGACCGATATCTGTACCCCCCCCCCCCCCCCCCGGTCCCATGGAGCATCTCTCAGTAAAGATCGCGACCCGGTGAGTGCGGTTAGCCAAGTTTTACGAACGCATCTGCAACGGCCTAAGCTACTTGTATGGTCTTTGCATCTATTTTTGACCTCTTTCTTCCACTATGCATCTTTCAGGCGTGGGAAGTTGGCTGTAGCCAATATCCTGTTATTCAGCGACTCGCACTAGACTTGGATGCGTCTTTGTTACTGGACTATTGGTACGGTCGTCAGGCCGGTAGGAAGAAGAGAAGGTGTTGATTTTGTGCAACCGATACAGAGCGTTCTGGTCAGCAAACCATAAATTGATGATGCTCAGCAGGAAATGACGGTCTATCTTTAGCTCTGAAGGTATCCAGTTGTTTGAGAAGGATATTTGAAGTTCGAAAATGCAGTATCTTGCGTCACAATGAGAGAGGCCTTCGGATTTCCGTAACCGCGGAGCCATGCATGATGACACTTGTTAGTATTACATCAATTAAGGCAAGCCATTGCGGCCAATGCGCATTGACCATTTTTCTACATTTTCTAGATTCATTTTATCCTTTTTCGTCAAGCTCTTTTACCGCGTGGCTGGCCGCCTTTGGTTAGTTAATACTACGCGGACTACGCAGATAACGCAGATAACGCGGAGTATGTAGATTATGGATACTACGCGAACTCTGCAAACTACGCGGACCACACGGATCACACGGACTATATAGACTAGTCACTATACAGTTCTGTCAGACTATATAGACCAAGTAGACTAAGTCGATTAAGCAGACTAAGTAAGTATAGTAAACCTATTCTGCCGGCTGTAACAAGTTACAGATATAGGAAAATGTGATGTGCGTTGGCCGCAATGGCTTGCCATACATCAATAGTCCTTACTATAGAAAGGTGACCTCCTTTCCTTGTCCGATAAAATGCTAAAGGTCAGTGATCTCTAGAGTATCTGTCTATTCACCTCTCCCGGAATCTTCATCAATCCCAGATAGCATCATTGCCTGAATGGTCTGAGCAATGTTTCGTATCGCTTACCATTCGCTCATCTCAGTTATATGGAATCCCGTCAGGTGCTACCTTGATCACCGTGCACCTTTCTGCGTGGTGAATTGGCTGGTTACTATTTCTATTACATGATTGCATTGCACATTGCAGAGAGCTGAGATGGTTTAGAAGAGCACCTACGTGGCAGTTCACGCCCAACTAAAACAGTAGATGGAGCATTAGAACGGAAACGATAACGACAGTCATGTGGCAATATAGGAATACCTTCTCAGTTTTAAATACCTATTTGTCTACGCACATTGTTACGTATGTCAAAATTGATCTATTATAACTGATCTTGGATACAGTTAACTCGGGTATACACATTTCAGAGTCAGCTTCACCGTTACCTTACCCATAGACATTTTCCCTCAACCTAAGCGCGTCTTGTCAGGGTACTCTTTTGGTCTAACCCGCACTTTCCAATTTCTACCATTCTGTGATGAGGACACATCCGCTTGTTCGGGGATTGGTTGATTGTCCTTCCTCGTTCAGGCCCTCGGGGGGTATCGCCATGCCTAACCATCCTCAGAATCCAGTGCATCGTATGCTCGAGGGATCGATTCTGCTTTGAGCGGGAAGCGTCGATACTATCGAACAGTCCCTTTATTCTCATCATGGACGTTGATCCACAACACCCCTCCCAACACATGTAGTGATACGGCTATTTTTGACTGCATGGTAAGGAAGAAACCCTGTGATACTGAAGTCGATTGATGACTTGAGTATATATGACAAAACGATAATCTCCCAGCTCAGCACAAAGTCCGCCCGAGCTTCTGCGCCAGATCAAAACATTTTTGAGCAGCTGCAAGTCAAATGATATTATATTTATATTTAAAAAATATAATATTAAAAATTATACGGGATCTTCTATAGGCTGGCCGCCCACCCCATAGAAGATCCCGAGAAGGACCACCAAAGCCATCTTGTAGATTTTAGGCAAAGGCCTAAGATAGGAGAAATTGAATTCTGAAAACCATTAAACTTCACCATCAATCAAGGCCAATACTGAACCAAGTCGAACTGAATCTAACCATAGTGAGTACAGGCCTAGTAGCAGGGATCTATCCCCGGATCACTAGCCAGTTACAGTTAACCCCAACTGACATCTTGGCCCACAACAAGTCGCCTTCCCGGAGCCATGCGGACCATCTCCCGCAATATATTTCTGCGGATCCATGTATCACTTCAGAAACCTTCCTTCTCAACCAACACTTCCCTTTCCAGGACAGATCAATATGTTTCTCTTTGTTTTGCTAGATACGAGGTGGTGCATAATGATCTTGATCGGCTTCAAAAAGATCAGCCACATGGGCTGAAGTTTTGCTAGGCCTCGCTATGGATCAGGTTCAGCTCCAATATTAGAACCCGTACATATGGATTGGGTTTGGATATTGGATCCAAAATTCAAAATCTAGAAATCTATTTATATATAAAATTCCGAATTAAACTATAGTGAAATATATAACAGTACTGTAAAACAAACATTTAATCCAAGAGAGATATATAAATAACATACCAAACTTCGAATCGAATTAAATCTAGAGATAGATTATAAATATATACTGTAAAACGAAAATAACTACACATTGTCACCAAACCACCCCAAACCGAGTGCACTGTATTCCTTCACCCTTTCTAGGTTAGGGCGTCCAATGTCGAAGGGCACTGTGATCCGATCTTGGCTACTATATCCGGGTGTTCAGAATTTGGAGAACACCTGCCTCTCCCAGAGGCCGTCGAAGGTACCCTGAGTGTCCCCGAACAAACAGAAACCCAGCACTACACATGCCTCGAGAATATTGAGCTGAAGGGATTTATTTCCCGTGAGTACGATGGACCAACGAATGACAGGCCTAAGGTCGAGGTAACGATGATGAAGCAGGTTCTTCACATGGAAAGTATATTCACTGGTTAGCATCAGGGGCAAACAGTTGTCAATCTCATTATATAGTACAACGGAGTGGATGCGGCATACATTTGCTGGCCAACCAATCTCAATAATGGGCCATGGCCCAGAATTCAATTTCCGAATGGCTCGAGCAGGGGTAAAAAGGCACAGGATGGGGTTATCGCTGAATCGCAATGATCATATTCATTACAGTAGAATGTGTCAGGGTAGAATGCGAAGCATGGCTTTTCGAGGTCATACCAATAGTATGGATTCCGTCGTTGATAAATTTTACCGGAATTGGATATGAAACAGGTCATCAAGATGTGTAAGGCAATAAATAAGCCAGAGTGATCCCGAAACAAAGACATAGACCCAAACAGCGTTTTGAATGATTCCAATTTAGCCGTAACTCCTTTTCGTGGCTTAAAATTGAGATCACATCAATATATGCACTCATTCCGTAAGAACAAAGATAATGTTTTCAACAGGTAAGTGGCCCACGCGGACGAGTGCTGAGACGGGTGTGGTTCGGGCTCGGTAGAAAGGCCTTCCAGGCCTAGCGTTGTATTCCTCCTAGGAGCACCCTTTACAATGGCGGTGTCTGTGCTGCTCGGGATAGGATTCATGCTGGGTCACTACTTCTTCTACCACAGTCTGGATGGTCAGCCGACACCAGACGCCGACTACAACATCTGGGGGGACTCGTTCAGCGTCTCGGGCCAGCAGGGTAACATCGGGATTGGCTCTCTGTTTGCCCTTCTGGTGAAAACAATGCTTGGCCTTGCGATCGTCACCGCGCTTGATCAGGTTACTTGGAGGCAGATCCGAGAGGAGCCCACTAAGGTGGCGACGGTTGATGATGTACTGTCGATTCCCACTGCTCTTTTCTCCCTCGCCAACCTGAAGCTGTGGCGGCGCTACCCTCAGGCTATTCTTACTGGTATTATTCTTTGGTATTGCAATTTCCGAGAGCTTTACATTGATACCCAAGCTCTAACAGCTGCACGTCTAGGCTTCTCTCGATCATATCTGTTATTGCACCCGCAACCCTGACGGTTCGATCAACGTCATATAGCGAGACGAGCGCAGAGCGAGTGCCCCATGTAGACTTTGCGAGTTTAAAGCTGGCGAGATTTGGGAAATCGGAGAATGGGGTTTCCTGTATGATAGCCCCCAGCTGGATGTTCAGATGATCGCTCAGTCTGCTTCAGTCGGGGGAGACATCCTTTCCATCATTCCACCCTTCCCCAACTCTTCCTGGCACCTCGATTTCGATGGGCCTGCTCTGGATTACCACAATCTCGACCAGTCTTTCCGAAATAAGATCATCGAGAACGTCAAAGTAAACAATAACTGCTCGGACGGGACGGTATACGGATATCTGTCGTGGGTCCGGACAGCGTATGATTGGGAGGGGCAATTCCACCAGGTGACGGTTCCAGACACCATTGTGCCTTTCGACAAGGATACCGGGACTCTCCAGACAGTGACTTTAGGGCCCGCGTACGCGTCTTCTGATTATGGCACGGCACCCCTGACACTCTATGTCGCCGCTTTTCCGGGAATGCTCAAGCGAACGTATGCCTACAAGTATTGGGACGAAGACAACTGCCCCAAGCCCAGCACTTTTGTTGCCAACGTGTAGCCTTCACAACGCCTCGTATTCAGGGAATTTCACGTTTGCCAGTGGAGCGCAGCTGGAGGTGAATTCTACGCGGAACCGGTACTTAAATAATGTCAGTTGGATAAAATCAACGGTGAATATCTCAACACCGCAGAGGCACGAATGAACGCTCAGTATAAGCTTAACAGCCTGTCCTACCAGGCCATTTTGGATGCCCCGGGTCGTGTTCTGGTAGGCACAATCGGTCTCGCTCAAAGGCGAATGCCTGCAGGAGTGATGTCTGCCCCAATAATCACCCACGGACTGAATATGACCGATACCACCGTCATGTCCACAGTGATTGCTTCGGCGTCGGAGCTGGCATTCCTGTCGAGCTATATCCAGGATAATGGGCCAGTGGATCCCGCCGGGGGTCTGTCGACGACAGTCCGCAGCATCGCTGAAAGGAGTCTCCCCGAGCTTATCGAGGAGGTTTTTGAGAATATTACACTGTCCATGATGAGTTCAGACAGTCTTCAGTATGTGTCAAGATATTATACTCACCTCTTCTTCTGTCAATAAATCCATTTCCTTCTATACTATACCCTACCCCCTGCTTCACCGAAACTAACACCAGCCCTCTTGATTCCCAGGTTCAACTACTCCTCCCGTCTCGCCCCCGACAACGTCCCCGTCACAACCACCCAAATCGTCAATCTCTACTCGTTTTCCAAGTCTGTCCTCTGGATAACATATGGCGTCGCCCTGCTCCTGACACTAGGTGTTGGGGGCGTTGGCCTGCATGCACATGTCTCCAGCCACGGCTCCTACACTACCAAGTTTTCGACAATTTTCCGGACGACACGCGGGGCCACTTTATCGACATCAATCGAGGCTACAGATGAAAACGGCCAGGATCCGCTTCCAATGTATATCGCAAAATCCACTATTGCGCTTGCGGGTGCGACAGGGGCTGATAGCAATGATGGTGTCGTGTCCGGCGCTTCAGGGTCAGATAGACGAAGACTGCCGTCTCATGCTGCTGAGCAACGTGAGAGTGATGAGTAGATCCCAGATCGGTTAATGAATTTATTATCTTAATTTAGTCGAGGCCGGTCAGGTTAATTTATAGCTAGGTTACAGCAGGTAGGCTATGCCACTCTAGTATAACTGTATATCTGCCGTGTGCTGTACTCTGCCTACAAATGTCTGTACGTACAGGGACCATTATTATCTAGGGTTCATAACACAAGGTTAGTTGATCAGGAATATTGGGTCCGGACTCTAGTAAAGAATTGACGCTGGGCTCATCTATCTGGCCTCAAGTCGAGCCCGATTTAGCCCAATTCCCTTGTACCACTCCATTGAAACATGCACTCAATGATTCTGCCAGATAGCACCCATTCTAGTGTAAATGTGTCCACAGATACCGCACCATTTCCGCACAATGAACCCTGTCTGTCTCCGTTGCACTGTTCCATTTCCAGTCCCACCCTGTATGGTTGGTCAAATCGTTTCGCACAGAGAGGTAATAGACCTCTGACTCCGGCGCCGACACCGTCAGCTCCGGATGATAGAACGCCACTACGTGGTACTCCATCCTATGTCTAGTGCCATCACCCCACATGCGTTTCAGTTCTTTCATTGTGTTCACATGAAACCCGAACGGCTTACTCCGCTCCACGTTGTTGTCGTACCGGATCGACCAGACCATGCGATTGAAATCCCACTTCCCGGATGGATGACACTCCTCGTAGCTGCAAAAGTTGCCTGCATCGTCCCAGTCGCACGTCCCGCGGATGCCAGTGACGTAGCGGCCAACTGTGGTGCGGTCCATCTTGTTGGTTATCAGGTCGACTTTGGAGTTCATGATTATTTCGTAGGAGATGAACTCGTAAGAGTCTTGGAGGGGAGTGTGGGTGGGGATGTGCTGTTCGCGGGACATTCTTTTCTGATGATATGTGTAGCTTGTTTGGAAATGGGTACTGTGTTGTATGCCTGAGTAAGTAGTGAAATTGACAGAGAAAACTGGACGTGAGGCCGAGCGTGCACATCAGGTCCAGTGGGATATGGCTGGTGTCAGATGACTGGCAAGGATCATGGACTTAATTTTCCAGGATATGCATCCTTCAAGCGATGATCTTTCCCAATTGCATTGATGGCCCCGCGGGTCTTCCAGAAGCCGTGAATCTCGGTTGATTGCTGAGTTGGCTATGGCCGGTGCTACAACACCACTTGTCATGAAAATGCTGTGTGCAAAGACCGGGCATCTCGATTGTATCAGCAGGCACCACATCGAGGTATATTATATTGATAGGGGCTTCCGCCCGGCGGCCTAAGGCGCGAAAGCAGGCTCTTCCAGGCCGCTAGGCTGGCCCACAACGCCTAGTAAGTATAAATACCTAGCCTAGATAGGATAGGGATAGTTCTGGGTCAAAACTTTCCGGGCACGGCGCAAAACTACACCAAAATATACATCCAACCAGCGTATTTATATAGACAGCATTGTTTGGAAAGTGTATTAAAATTTTGGTGTGGTTTGGCGCTGCTAAAGTTGCACAGGGATCGGGTTTTTCATAGGTCTCCCCGTACCCAACCCAAAACCTGCTAGATTTAGGCCTCTCCGACCCGCGGGTTCCCTGCAAAAGCTAGACTAAGCCTACATAAGGTAGTGCTTATTTATCATATATCTAATATATTTTTTGGCTTAGCCGAGAGTTTTCAAATCTTTATATCTCTATTAATTGTATATATATAAAATAGATCTATATAAAATTATAAAACAATGCTAGATTTTCGGTCCACATACTGCCAAGAAATCCCCGCGCGGGTTTTCCGGGTTGGGGTCGGGTCTAGCGGGGAACTTGTGTCACTTTAAATATTATATGTTTAAGTAGCTAATTATCAAGTTATTAAAAAATTATTTTAGAAAGTAATGGATTACTATACAAGAAAATAATACTATAGAATTACAAAGTAATTAGCTTTATATCTATACTACGTTAATTTAATTTTGATACTATTTGTATTTATCTAATATCAATTAATTTCAAATCTTCATAGAAATTCAAGGAAAATTCTCCAACATATATAGAACCTAATTTCTGGCTACAGAAGAGATACTCTTTGAAATACTGTATGGATTGTAAGTTTATAACAGTTGTATCTAGTGGTAGTTGACCTTTGTACCATGTGTTTCCCCTATAGAAATGAATTGGACAGAGAAACAAAGGAATGTCTCTATTAGTTTTATAATACTTAGCCTCTCCAACCCTCATCCAGAATATTGAAATCCGACTCCTGAAGTAACCCCATTATAGCTCGATTACTAGAAAACCACCCATCCAACTCCGCCTCATTTCCCACCCACATCATCGGCTCCTCCCTCTGCTTAGATTCCCGTCTGATAAAATCACGCCTGGGGTCTGTGCCCAAAGATTGTGATCCCGGTTGATGGACAACACCAGAAACCTGTGCTGGCAGTCCCAATGCAGCGAGATACTCATCCATCTCGGCACACGCTGGTGTCTGGCCTGGTTGCTGGGATGTGCGGAACTCTATGTAGCGCAGTGCTACGTTGTAGAGGACTAGGAAAAGACGGTACATTCTAGCGGCAGCATCTGAGACCATTGGTGCCAATTTGATGGATTCGACAAAGGCATGTAGGTGAGGTAGGTAGCTTTGATCCTGGGTTTCGATTATGTGGCAAAATATGACGATGAAGGGGGAAAAGGGTGCGAAGAGGAGGGTCCTTAGATGCGATTATATACGTTAGTAACTTACGACGAGATGATGCGGTATTGGGGCTTTATTCGCCCATGGTTTCATCTGGATATACAACCATACCAATGAATATACTTGGCGAAGTAGATACTGCCGAGATTGCGTATCACGTCAATACAGTCGTGGTGTCTCTGCAACGTCGCCTTGGCGGCCTTGATGCAGTTTAAGCTGAAGGTTGTGGAAGAGTCTTTTGTGGGTGGAGCGGCCCGATAAACCAGTGTGAGAAGCGATAGACGGAGAACGTCGTCCGAGAAAGCAAAAAAGTTCATCAAGTCTTCACCAGAGGTCTCGCTGGCAGTTTCAATCCATTGATTCTATGCAATATTAGACTCTTTCATTGATCAACCTACTCGTGACTTACGTGGGTATCACGAGTTGCCTTTTCCAATGCCTGAAGGTCATTCACCAGGATCTGCACTCGATCGTGCCGTACTGTGTCGGGTTGAGCAAGGGAGGAGGGACTATATAGCATCGCGTATATGCTGCCCTGGCATCGCGCACATTCGATCCACAAGGGGAAGTATGCCATGACAGGTGCATGGCTGAAGCTGTTTACTGAAGGCCGAAGTATTGTTATCTCACAATCTGGAATAGTCGAGGCCCGCCCAAGGCGAAGTGATAGGCTCTTGTCCAGAAAGTAGACGCTCCAGAAGAGGAATAGTTTGTATTGTATGGTGCCTTGCGAGTCAGCCTTCATGGACGCATTCCGATGATAGCCGAGTGTCTGGCATAGCTCGGACGCCTTTGATGAATATGTCCAGGACATAGAAGGCTTCGAGAGCTCTATGAAGTGGAAAGCCTGCGAACAGGTGAGATCCAGCAACCAATCACAAGACGAGATACTTACACCAAATATAAGTGCGAGGATTGCGTTCGAGGTTGCAGGTAGATGCAGAGGCAAATCAGCTAGCGCGGCTTCTAGATTGGCTCGACATAGATCCGCAAAGCCGGAGTATGCTTCGCGATGCTCCTCCGGCAGTTGGAATGCATAGTCCGAGAACAGAGAGTGTAGACCGGCATTCACAGTTATGACATCAATGCCAGGATAATCATCCGAGAAGTAGACACCGAGGCACATGTCTGAAAAGTGATTTAATTGAAGAAATTCATAGATCCAACCAGTACCGGCGAGGCTTTGGGCTACGATAAAGGTGGGTTAGATATGATACGTGCTCATGACAGTCCCAACCGGTACTCACATTTCGCAAGACGGATCAGGGCAACAGCCTTCTCAATGGGAGGCAGCTCGAGGTCGTTCAGTCGGGGACGGTTTGTAGGGGGGAAGTGAGGGTCAATTATTTCGCTGGAGGCAGTCTGCTTTTTGAGTGTCGCAACGGTATGAGCAAGTGCATCGAGAGTCTCGCGCATCTCTAGGCTGCAGTCTTGCACAGCGTCTGGGCTCACGAAGGTTTGCAGAAAGTCGTTTGCAAAAGCCGAGTGGGCCGTCAAGGAAGAGTCGCCTTCCACGACGGGCCCAGCAGCCAAGTCGGCCGGGGTTGCCTGGCCAGATACCGCTGGGGTGGAATGCGTCTCGTTGGATAGGGGTTGTGTACCCCTTGGTAGCTGCGGTCGTTCGGGCTCGGGCCGGCTGACTTTGAGATCGTTCAGAATTTCAATTATGCCATCCAGTCGGCGTTCGATGTGGTCAATTTTCCTTTCACTGCACGGTGAGAGTATGGTCATTCAGGTGCATCCGAAAATGACAACCTAACAAGATGGCACAAAGGCCATGAGGCTGCGCAGGCGGAGCACATACTACAGAGGGGTGAAGTGGATGCGAGTGCGCTTCTCTTTGACCTTGATTTCGGCATGTGTACACTCAATGCTCCTGTGCTCACAATGCGAACACGGGTGCTGTCGGTTACAGCGTATCTAGAGCAAATCAGGCTCTAACCTACCAAGTGCAACGTGGCGTCGAGGCATACCTTGCGGGATCGACAGGCATCGCACTGTGTATGAGTTAATGAACTATGGCGATAAAGGTTCAGGAGCTCAGAGGGATGACAAACAGCTCGCGGCATGAGAAGATTCCGGTTGGTCGAGGATACGGCCTCGGGAACATCGGATTCACCGAGGGGATACGTAGCCTCCATGATGAGAACGGAAAAGTAGAGACTGCTTAGGATCCTTGGGAGATAGACCCTGGCGAAATCGAAGCGTTGAAAGAGGGTCCCCAAATATCCGTAGAGGCCAAGATTGAGGTCCATTACTGAGGGCATCCATTGGCCACGTGGATGGCTCTAATCCCGAAGGAGTGCCCGCGCGAAAAGTGCCGAAAAAAAAAATAACACTTCGACCATGACTCGACGAATCCGTGATTGGTTCTGGACCCCCACATCCATGGATGGGCTCCGCTGATCCAAGATTTTGGGTGGTGACGGAGCCCGTGAAATCCACGCCCGACGGCCCAGACCCTAATGATTGGATTGGGCACTTTGCTCTATACAACCTATACAACCCCAGACCTAATCAACATCTGCCAAGCATGCGGACACCGTATATCGCGCCCCGAAATGAGAGGCATCCCCTGTTCTTTACTAGTCGTAGCTATATAAGCTCAAATGGCGCCCTTAATTCCAGAAGACCTCAAGTTCTCGGTTGTCCGTCAGTCTCTACATAGTCAGCAATCCCGCAGAGTATCGCATGGATACTGAAGCGATTGAAAGCGAAAAGGGGGCGACAGCGCCAACTTCAGAGGCGCCCGAAGGCTCGTTCGCCGCCTACAAGCGAATCTTCCGGTATGCCGGGCCTTTCGAGCTCTCATTACAGACTGTCGCCAGCGTCGCAGCCGTTGCTTCTGGTGCCGGCATCGCTTTCCAACCCCTCATATTAGGCCAGTTCGTCACCAGCGTCACCGACTTCACATCATCCCAATCCACTCCAGACCAACTTCGCTCGGAAGCGTCAGAGCTTGCTCTGTACTTTGTCTACCTCGGCATTGCCCGCTTCGTCCTTTCTTATATCTATAACACGCTCTTTACCCACACAGCCCACATCATTACTCGGAACATTCGAAATGAATATCTCAGGTCGGCTCTTGGCCAGGAAGTAGCATTCTTCGATGTTGGGACTGGTGGCTCGATCGCAACCCAAGCGACCTCCAACGGGCGCATGATTCAGGGTGGAATTAGTGAGAAACTCGGTCTTGCTTTGCAAGGCATCGCAGCGTTCATCACGGCATTCATAATCGCTTTCGTCGTGCAGTGGAAACTGACCCTGATATGCCTCTGCATTGCCCCGGCAACGCTCACCGTGAATGGTATTGCGGGAGGCTTCATGGGAGTCTATGAGAATCAGATCCTTCAGACCAACACGAAGGCTAACGCCTTTGCGGAGAGTATCCTCTCCAGCGTGCGGACTGCGCATGCCTTTGAAATTCGAGATAGGCTCCTTGACAGATTTGACGAGCACCTGTCCAGTGCTCACAAGATTGGCAGCAAGCTGTCGGTCATATTTGGCACGTTTTTCTCCGCTGAGTACTGCATCGTCTATTTGGGCTACGGTTTGGCCTTCTGGCAAGGTATCCGCATGTTGTCTCGGGGGGAAATTGTGGAAACGGGGGGTATCTTTACGTGGGTTTCCCCATTTTGAATCGATCGGCCGGCTGCTGACAGCACAGTGTTATTATGTCGGTCATTATCGCTGCGACGCAGCTGACCATGCTTACCCCCTACATGGTTGACTTCACCCGCTCCGCCTCTGCGGCATGTACGCTGTTTCATTTGATGGATCGCAAGTCTGAAATTGATCCGTATGATACTATCGGCCATCAGCCCTTGGAGGTTGTAGGGGATATTGAGCTGACCGATGTTACGTTTGCATACCCAACGCGGCCTGAGGCGAAGGTTCTGGACAGATTCTCCATGAGAGCCCCGGCTGGCAAGGTCACTGCTCTGGTGGTGAGTAAATGATGAAGTCTGGGCCTGATTTCAAGCTGAATCTTTCGCAGGGTCAATCTGGGTCTGGAAAGAGTACGATTGTGGGCCTTCTCGAGCGTTGGTATAACCCTGCGTCAGGAACCATAAAATTGGATGGCCACCCACTCGACGAGTTGAATCTCAGCTGGCTCCGGCAAAACGTCCGTCTCGTCCAGCAAGAGCCAATCCTCTTCCAGGGTACTGTGTTCGACAACATCAAGCAAGGACTTGTCGGCACCAAGTGGGAACATGCCCCTAGGGGTCAGCAAATGGAACGAATCCAAGACGCCGCCACCATGGCCTTTGCGCATGATTTTATCGCTAACCTCCCAAATGGCTACAATACCGAGATCGGCCAACGTGGTGACCTTTTGTCGGGTGGTCAAAAGCAACGTATTGCTATCGCTCGAAGTGTTGTCTCTCAGCCGAAGGTTCTTCTCCTGGATGAGGCCACCAGTGCTGTAGATCCGCATACCGAAAGTGTCGTTCAAAAGGCCCTGGATGAGGCTACAAAAGGTCGGACGACGATTGTCATTGCCCACAAACTGGCGACCATCCGGAAGGCTGATAGCATTATCGTTATGGAAAAGGGTTGCATCGTCGAGCAGGGAACACACGATTCTTTGCTTGCACGTGGCAGAAAATATGCTCAACTTGTGAGAGCACAAGACCTGGCTGTGTCGAGTCAATTAGAAGCAAAGTTGGAGTCCGAGTCTGTCAACGATGAGAAAGTAGATTCCGTGACTAAACTCTCGGTCCCAGCATCATACAGCTGGGTCGACAAACACAATGGAAACATTACGCAGAATGACTATGCCAATTATGACGACTACAAGCAACGAAACATCATTTTTGTCATCTATCGTCTCCTTCGGGAGACATCCGAGCTTCGCTACGTGTACTGTCTGGTCTTCGCTGGATGCATAGTTGGTGGTAAGTGAACGAAAGCGCTCGCGTGCCATCCATTCCCTTTCTAATCACAAAAATAGGGGCAACCTTCCCGGGCCAAGCGATTCTCCTCTCGAGTGTGGTTGAGATGTTGACCCTGCCAATGGCGGAATTAGAACACAGGGGCAACTTCCTCGCCACTATGTTCATCGTTCTCGCTGCTGGCTGTCTCATATCGTACTTCATTCTCGGCTACGCAACCAATACCGTCGCCCAGCATCTAGGCCACAAGCTCCGGAAACAATGCCTCCACGACATCCTCCAACAAGATATTGAATTCTTCGATCGCGACGAAAACAGTACCGGTGCACTTGTTGCGAGAGTGGATTCAAACCCACAGGCCATCCTCGAGCTGATGGGGTATAACATCGGTCTTGTCTTGATTGCCGCCTTAAATGTTCTCGCATGTGCGGTGTTGGCACTCGTTTACTCTTGGAAACTTGGTCTGGTCGTTACATGTGCGGGTCTTACTCCGTTGGTTGGCTCAGGGTATCTGAAGATCAGGCTGGATGCGAAGCTTGATCGGCATACTTCCAAGCGCTATTCAGTTAGCGCGTCTATTGCGTCGGAGGCGGTTACTTCCATTCGCACGATTTCGTCGCTTACGATAGAGCATTCTGTATTGGAAAGATACACGAGAGAACTGGATACAGCGATGGCTGACTTGAAGCGCCCGTTGTTTGCGGTAATGGCGAGCTTTGCCTTTACACAATCTGCCGAGTATTGGTTCCTGGCTCTTGGCTTCTGGTATGGATGTCGGCTGTTGTCGTTTGGTGAAGTTAGCCTTTACGCATTCTTTGTCGCCTTTTTGGGGGTGTTCTTCTCCGGGCAGAGCGCGTCACAGCTATTCCAGTTTTCTACGAGCATCACCAAGGGTGTCAACGCCGCAAACTATCTCTTCTGGCTGAATGATCTTCAGAAAACAGTGCGGGAGAGAGATGGAAGCCGCGAACAGGGCCCGGGTATAGTGCTTGCCCTTGATCTGGATAAGGTCAAGTTCTCCTATCCTCGTCGACCCGAAATTCCTGTTCTTAAAGGCCTTGATCTCAGCGTACGTGTTACCCTTCCCGGTCTCGTGAATGGATACTAAACTCCCCAGGTCACAAAAGGCCAATTTATAGCTCTCGTTGGCTCCTCGGGGTGTGGTAAATCAACAGTCATAGCCCTTTTGGAAAGATTCTACGATCCATCCGCCGGCTCGATCAAACTCAACTCCTCACCTCTACCAAGCTTCAGTCCACGCCTCTATCGCAAGGTTGTCTCGCTCGTACAACAGCAACCAGACCTCTTCCCAGTCTCCATATACGAAAACGTCGCATTGGGTCTCGGATGCGATGCCCGGGCTGATCTGGAGGCGACAGACAGTCAAATTGAGTCTGCCCTTCGCGCCGCCAATGCATGGGACTTTGTGTCGTCTCTTCCCGATGGGTTGGCTACGCTAGTTGGGTTTGGCGGATCACAGCTTTCCGGGGGTCAGAGGCAGCGTATTGCAATTGCAAGAGCGTTGATCCGCGATCCAAAGATTCTTCTTCTAGATGAGGCTACGAGTGCACTTGATACTGAGAGTGAGCGGGTTGTGCATGCGGGGCTTGCTGCAGCGACGGATGGAGATCGGATTACGGTTGCTGTTGCGCACCGCTTGAGTACGATCAAGGATGCGGATGTGATCTGTGTGTTTCACCAAGGTCAGATCATGGAGATGGGATCACATTCTGATTTGATTGGCACGGGTGGGATGTATAGTAAGATGTGTGAGGCTCAAGCTTTGGACTAGATTTAGGTTTAAGGAATATTGTAGTAACGCTCTACCGTTGCAAACTTGTTGTATTCCTTAATGCTACCAATCAGAGTAGTACCATCTTGTAAGGATGGAACTAGGGTACAGCCTTCAATTAGTGGAAAAGCATAGGACGGAAAATGCTTAAGCTCCATAAGCCAATGTGTCCTACAAAGGAGCAGTGGCATCGGCAGGGCTGATTATAATAGGGTATGACAGATGAATAAGAGCCAATTAACTGAACACTCTATAATTAATCTTACTCTATTGCAATATGTATTTCTAGTTTTTTTAATTATTAGGTAACTATATTAATAAATATGTAGGCTTATTTTCATAATTCTAATTTTGAAATATATTTATAGCTTGGTACGGTAAATATAATATAGTCAATTACCACAAGAATTTCAAAACAATTTTTATATTAAGACTGTTATTGAAAAACAAATCTAAGAATATTCCTACTAGGTCTCTGGCCAGCGAATCAGGGTCTAGGAAAGTCCCTACAGCAAGCTGAACGTATACTCGGGTACCCCTCTAGGGAAGACTATCGCACAGCAAACCTCAAACAGCAACCGTCTAAAACCCTCCTTATCCCCCCCTGTCTTGACACACCTATGAAAATACAGATAGCCAGTTCAAGGAGCATCATTCTTCCCGCCAGACGCACAATTGCTAAACCCGAGCTTGGGCCCACAGTACGCGGACGCTTCAAAGTTTTCCGCCTTCCCGAACTTCAAGTACCCATGCCAGGTGCCCCCGTGGGTCAGCTCCACGCACATGGTCCCACAAACGTTGTTGCGCTCGACGTCTTTCAGGTATTTGTATATGGCACCCTCGATGGTCTTCTGCTGGGCGGTGGTGTCGCAGTTCCGGCCGGTGGCGTGGAACTCCCAGCGCCAGCCATCAATGGTGCCGGAGTGCGTGCCGCAGTCATGCTGGCGAGAGGCAGTGTAAATCTGTCCCGCCAGCTGCGCCGCGAACATGGCCGCGATGCTGATGGACGAGCAGGAAAACCGGTGTGCGATGCTGTTCTCGCAGGCTTTCACGTTGGTGCGGGTGACCAAGGTCCCGTTGGTGGGCGTCGGTGTGGTGGTGGTCGGGACGTCGGCGTCCTCGGCGGCCTCGAACGTGGCGAGGTCAAAGTTCTCGCTGTTGTCGAGGTTGTAGGAGAACCACCGATGCGGCCAGGACTGCCCGTCGATCAATGGGTTGGGGCCATCGGTATCCGACGGTGGTGTCGCCGGCTGGGCGGACGAGAGTGCAGAGCATACACTCAGCGTCAGGATCGTCGCCTTGGTCAGCAACATCGAGAGAGCAGAGGATGGAGGAGAGCCGAAAAGCAAAACAACAAGATGGCGCAAATGAATGCTTCAAGACCAGGAATGGAAAAGCACTGCAGACTGGAGCCGGAAGCGATGAAGAGGAGCAGAGAGGAAGACGGGATGCCCTCGCCTTTATATACCCCAGATCCTCCGGATATTTGTCAGTGTGGTTGTCCGTGAAGATTGTCCCGGTGGTCAGCATGCAGCTAGGGTCTTGCATGTCTCAGTTGCAGCCTTGTCACTCGACCGAAGCCAGGGGAATCAACTTAGCTATGTCGACTCCACCCCTCCGACACCATCGATTGGCAGGATCATTCATGCATTGTGTCCCAGTTGAATGACTTCCTGACTTAATGATAGTCGTAGCAGCTGAGAGCTCGCGCATCCATCTCTCCTCGTTTTCCATTTTTGCCCACATGCATGCCTTGTTACGATCAAGTGATCTCTCGAGCGAACCGGGGAAGACTATCTGGAAGGACCCGAATGAGCTGAATTCCTACGGCCACCCTGAGAGAGCCCGTATTCCACTTTCCTACCGAGGGATCACCGGAGATCTTTCCAATCTCCTTGCTCTCGTCACCACAACTGCTCCAGCGCGCAAACTCCTCCCGGTTCATCTTGATTTGATATCGCTTCGAGGGACTCATCCAGCAAGACCCACATAGTCAGTCCAGGCAAACTCCTCACGGCTGCGGTCTGACGTGAGATCCACTCGCGGTGCACACGCGATGTTTGGTCGACATCGGACGTTGGGCCAGACTTTCGTTTTCTTCATCAGTCCTTTTGCTTAATTCGTCCTTTTTCCTAATCAGTCCGTTTTCCTAATCCAGCCCTTTTTCCTAATCTAGCCCTTTTACCTAATCCAGGCGGTGGGGCCTTAGAACGGTGGGGGCCGAAATGGACCAAGTCGTCGTTTAGGGTTTGATATCAAATCATTCCAAGATCACGGCCGGCATCTCAGGCACCACCATCACCACGTGATACGGTCAGTGACCCGACCAAGAAGGCGTAGGACGTTCCATACTAAAATCCCAAGCCCGCTGTCGGGGTGGGCACACGACGGATGTCCAGCCTCCTGGTGCGCTACGAACACCGGGTATTGGAGAGAAGGGGACAGTCATCTCTTCTCCAGGGCTTCAGAGGAGAAACGTGCCAGCGGAGTGATTTGCTGACGAGGGAGGCACCCAGCCTCTGTCTCTCGCAAACGATCCAAACGGGGCCTTTCAGCTGTCCCTGCGCCCTTCGTTGACTAGGGCTGCACGGTTGAGACAGACCCTCCAATCAGCACATACGAACAGATAGATCAGCATTTCCCGTGTGAGCTATTCTTTATGGCAAGCAAAGATCAACCATAGAACTGAGACCCCTATCATACGGATCCTTTGCTGAAGCGAACATCTTTCCAGGGCCGTTCTACGATTGGGCCGGAGTCATGCTAATGGCAACAAAGCGGGCTACTGAAGAATCTCCACAGGGCAGAACGTCTATCTGTTCTAAATAACTCTCTAAGATGGTCCTGCTCCGGGAGGGAGGGACGGAATGGGTAGTAATTGGGTGGGCTTGGCTGTTGACTCTGTTAGGGCTACTCGATGGCACCGGTGTGGGTTATTGTAACGTATTAGAACCTTGGAAGGAAGCCTGGCCCAGAAAAGGGACTAACACTTTATCTACAGTTATCGCTAGTACCGACGATAAAATCAAAACAGCGGCTTTCGACGTTGCACAGTATTTAGTTGTTGTGGTAGTCGTATTTATATGTCCCGAATAAATTCTGCTCCAGTGAAATCGATCGGCGTTTCCACTATTTGAAGTAAAAGAGAATTGTATGAAGTTTGTTCTAATTCTATCCCACTCGTTCGTTCCTGTTGAATTCAACCAGACGCGACCGACATGCCCTTCCCGAGAGACGGCCATGCACAAGTCTCAGCGAATGATATAATCTTAGCCTCGCTGTGATATGCAACATTCGCTGCTGAACAGTCTGGCCAAGGAAATATATAACTAGTCGTTCTTTTAATCTTCTAGCTTGGTTTACTTGGCTTCAAGTAGTACAGCTTAGTAGTGTTGGATATGTTATTTCTAGTCCTAGAGAGCTTTTATTCACATAATTTCAACTTGAATTTGAAAAGAATATTATGTACAATGATAGTCGAACGGAGTATTTCAGTTTACAAAATAGTATGGACTTACCCTTGAACAAGATACCATTACCTTTGTAGCTCTTAACGGTCGTTAGGTATAGAAATTCCATTACCCTAGCTATAACCTAGCAGTTGGGTACAACCGACCCCATTAATCTAACCTAGCCAGATGTCAGTCTACCTGAAGGTTAATTGAATGGATAAAAACCAACGTCGTTGCAATGGGTGGTGGGGAAGGAAGAAGGACAGAGAAAGGTGCTGAGTGGAAAGTCATATTCCAATGGGTGAATTAGACTAACCATGCACACTACATAGCTCCAGCCTGACTTTGAATTTGAACATTGCTAAAACCGCCGCTGCCATAGCTGCCAAACAATCCTGCCATCCCCCGTCCCACGCCATCATCAGTGACGGACAACTTCGTCGTCGCCCCTCCACTTCCGGTCACGGTGGCAGAAAGGGTGGCAGACTTCACGGAGAGGGATAGATGATATTTTTGATTCGTCTGGATGCCACCAGGAACAGGCGTTGAGCGCAGGGTGGTGGCTCCTTGATCACCTACTTTGTACAAGGTAAAATTGCCACGATTGCTATCGATTGCAGCTGTATATCGTGTGATGCCCTTGGGAGCAATTGTCCAGATGGGATGCCCGCGCCATGAGACCTACTACACCAGATGAACTCGCCACGATGGCATCTGCACTGATCTCATAGTCTGTCCATCCCGACGAACCTGTCAGAACCATTGTGCCGGGCTCACTGCCTGGTGGCGGAAATGTGTACTGATCGCCGGCAACGGACCAGATCTGGTCGAAGTCAATCCACCCAGCGTCACCAGTGACGGGAAAGTCAGATCGGTATGGTAGGATTCCGATAGATGCTGCGCCAGTACTCTCTTAACATGGTTCGCCTTGGATGTTGGCCGGCGCCCTGGCTGAGTACAAGATGGTTCCATTTGGCAGTTGCAACATGTTGGGACTGTAATTCGAGGTGCAATGCTCTGAACTTGGAGCATACCAGGGTGCTGATGCGCAGTGCCAGTTACCAGTGCCGTTTTGCAGGTTGATGTGGACGGTACGCCGGTCTTCTAGGAGGTGAGGGGGTTTTTCGAAGTATGGAGCATTGGAGGGACGTCTTTTTGAGAAGCTAGATACAATCAACTGCTTCCCCACGGGATCCCAGATACTATATGGGCTGTCGTATGCTCCAACACCATCAGGGGAAGCAACAAGCACTCCCTCGTCACTTGTATCCCATGTAATCCCGTCTTTGGATGTTTTTCCGTGCACCTGGCACGTAGCTGGATAATTTCTGGAATCACACCACTCATAACTCATAAAATACTCTCCATTACCCATCTTGGCGACGGTCGCCATTCCAGGTCGGAAAGTCTGCTCAGAGCCAACAACAATATCCGTGGCATTGTCCCAGCTGCCACCACCGTCTTTCGAGATAGCTCGGACGAGCTTTTGAGAATGGACTTCGTTTCTGCGTTCATCTGAAAAAACAGCCACGAGATTGCTCTGGTTATCTAAGAACAAGAATGGCTCCCATATACCGTGGGATTTATTCACGTGCTTGTCCGGCCAGCCCTGCTGCCAAACGCCAATCTGATCCCATGTTTTGCCATGATCCGTGGATCGCCAGGAATAGAAGTCGCTGACACTCGCGTTCACCAAATTTCCTACCAAGAGGATAGTACCTGCGGCATACTTCCCCAGCTGCTGGGGGAACTCGAACAGGAAAGGCTGGTAGTAATGCGTTGTTGGAGGGTCACCCGAGGCGAGCACAGTTGTCACTGTATCCCATGTTGTGCCATCATCGGTGCTCTCCCGAATGATATAGTGACTCGGTGCGTTGTCGGCGTGCGAGTGTTCAAAAGTAGCAAGCAGCTTTCCATTTGCGTCGCCTGCATGATGGATCTCAATCACTCGTGAGTATCCAACTACTTCACCACTTTGCGACGGTGACCAGAGCGAGTTGTAAGCTGCAAGGGTGGAACTTGTAAACAGCAACACTAGTAAACTGAGGGCGTGTGCGGTGATGCCACTCAATTTAGCCATAGCCAAGTAAGGTCCGTGTGGGAACGGCTCTGGAGAAGAATTGAATCTGAAAACTCTCTTCTTTCCATCTTTCCTTGACTATTTATCAGCACCAGAAGGCTCTTTGGTTAGAAATTCCAACGCTCTAGGCATCCCAAGTTGTCCATATTCAGGGCAGATCGACAGCTGTGTCGATATCACAGGGCCATTTGTGATGAGGCATTTTTGACAACATTTCAGCTCAAATGGAAAGCCTGCTTTTACCTATACCAAGATGGGTAATGTTTTTACGAGCTAACCTATAGGAATGAAAAGCTTGAATTGCTTAGCCTGATGGGGCGCCTGATCGTCAGGCCGGGTTGGATATGTGGAGACGAACACATGACGCCTTAACCTAATTGACTGTATCCAAAGCACTTAAGACGAGTTAGATAAGGCTGCAGAGGATAGATCCAAGGCGTTCACAGTAGTCAGGAAAATATTCAGGTAGTATACAGCACTATACGATTCCAAGCTTGGGGGATGGGGTTAGGCTGCGGGATATTGTTCTAAGCTGCAGGATATATGCTACTTTTTACTCTGTGGCCCATCTGTTACGCTACTTCAGGAACATTTTATGGATGAGGGAAGGCATTGTCACCTGAACATGTAGAGGAGCAATGTCTCCTTTCCCGTCCCTTTATATACTGACCTATGCTCCACCTAAAGTCTCACTACATTCGGCTAGCGTAATTGGTTTTATAACTGTGATGGGTATTTCTAGCACGGAGAAGACAGGAATCATGGGGGTGATTGATCGGGCGCTCACCCCATTCTGATCCCAGCAGACAGAAAATACCAAAAATAGCTTAGAATACTCTCTCGGCTCACCTTCTTAGCATTGTACGTTTTGGTGGTGCAATTGCTTGCTATTTTTACAGAAAGAAACAAGGGGTATCGTCAAATCCGGCACATTGAACTTAGCCCATACAGCCCTCCACTCTCTGGTTTGGATGTGAAATTAAGAACTAACTTCTCACCTCCAGTTATTGCTGGTACCAGCAAAAAGCAAACCACCAGCTTCCCAGGCTGCGCACCAGTTAGTCGCTGTGGCAATCGAATTTACACGTCTTGTAGGAATCCTCCCCCAATCAATTCGACCGGCGTTTCCGCCATTTGAAGATAAAGATGAGGTACGTCGCCAGCACCGCCATGGTATAGTTGAACAGGATGAATCCAATGAAGATACCGACGTTGTTACCGCGTTGTGAATAGCTCATGTCATACTGCTGGACCTATTTGGTTGAAAGGAAAACTGTTTAGCTTTGTTCACAACAGGGAACAGGGACCGAGAAAGAAATACTAACATATTCGTCTCCATCCGCATAGGCACAATATTCGCACAGCCCTGTCGCATTGGGATCAACCAGATAACCGGTGGAATTCGCCAGACCGAAGAATTCGGCTGTGTAGGAGGCACATGTCTCTCCGACGGGCGCCTCGAAAGTGGTGAGCTCGGAATTGCGGCAGGTGATTTGGAGCGCATGCATAGCGTTCGTCCCAATTCCCTCGATGAAGTAGAATAGGGGGGAGATATTGTAGAACCACCGCCATCCGCGCGGAGTCAGAGGCGGCGGCGAGAGGGGGCCGTTGAAGGTGTTGACCACCAGCCAGATGAACCCCGTTGCCACCTGTGCGGCAAGAACGGTGGGAAACAGGGAGGCAGTCAGTTGAGCGAGACTCGCGACGAACAGCGAGTACAGCTCGTACATGAGGAAGGCATACCCGGCGCGGGTCGACACGGTGAGGTACCCAACCATGTAGTACCAGAGAAGCCAGTAGATCAGCCCGCCCAGGAGGGTGAACGGGATCTCGACAAGCAGCGCACTGATGGTGAAGATGCTCCAGTGGTACACACGCGACTCATTCTCCCGCGCCAGGAATTGGTCACGCAAGAGGATGAAGCGAGGTTCAATCTGGAGACTGAGTACGGGGCCCGTGATCACACCGACGAAGATCGAAAACATCCGTCCGCGGGCATCGGTCAGATCGTTGGACAGCTGAAGAAAAGTGAGCCCATTCATCAGTCCCATCCAGATGTTGAGCTGGATTTTGCCTAACACGTAGTCCGAGTCACGCCAGTAATTCGTGAAAGCGCGTTGCGTGACGACGCGAAGCTGGTCGAGATAAGACGCCGCATATGTCCGATCAGGGTCTGACGACGAGGACTCTTTGACCTCCTGTACCTGGAGTAACCTCTGCAGCTGCTCTTGCGTGGAACCATACTCGGGCGACCCCTGCCAAGTCTATTTCGTCCAGGAGTTTAGATTCGAGTAAGTGCATGATACAATAACGTCAACGGGGGAAGGTAGGGATTGGAGTGAGAACACTATACCTGAAACCAGTCTTTGTCAGGCTCGGCGCTGACTGCCAAAAGGTAATCCGCTGGATTTTCGGTCTCTCCGCAGCGCCGCGTATAGCGAGCGAAATAATCCAAGATCTTTTGACACCGAGAGCCCAACGGCCCGAAGTAAACTGTCTTGCCGCCAGGCACTAACAGAAGCAAATTGTCAAACTGTTCAATCATCTGGGCAGAGGGCTGATGAATCGTGCAGAGGATGGTCTGCCCAGCGTCGGAGAGCCTGCGCATGAGTTGCACGATGGAGAGCGCAGAATTGCCATCCAAGCCGGATGTGGGCTCGTCGAGAAACAAAACAATGTCCGGCTTGGCAGCTAGTTCAACTCCGATACTGACGCGCTTGCGCTGTTCGAGATTCAATCCCGCCCCAGGCACTCCGATGATGGCCTCAGCGATATCCTCCATCTGCAAGAGTTGAATCAGCATTTCCACGTGATCCATCTTCTCTTCCCAGGAAACCGTTGCCGGACGACGGAGGCATGCGCTCAGCTGGAGAGCTTCTCGAACCGTGGATGATGCCAGGTGGATATCGTTCTGGTGGACAAATCCTGTGCGCCGTCCCATCGATGCCGGAAGAGTCTGCCCGTTCAGATAGAGCCCTCCGGATAAACGCCCAATCTGGATTCGCTGAGCGAGGGTATCAAGAAGTGTAGTCTATACAAACACCGGCTCAGTCAGCCTGGGGGACTCTATGCGCACACCACGGCCTGCTCAAGATCTTCCACATGACTTACCTTGCCCGCACCAGACATGCCCATTAACGCAGTCATTTTCCCAGGCTGAAGCCACCCTATGAAAAAAGAAGATGGTGAGACGCATTCCCCCTCTGAATACTACCCAGCAAGGCCTTACCTGAGACTTCGTGAAGCAAACGCTTGTCATCGTCAAGCTGAAGTGATAGTCCTTGCCATGCAAACACGCTTTGGGTCGCCTCGAGACGGCCGATCGTTGTCACATCGTGGTTGGAGCTGGGCTTGGACTCTTTTGTCTCTGAGGCCATTGGTGGTTCCTCAATGTCTGCGGAGCGCGAGGCCGATGCTCTCACCCAGGACGGTAGCCTCCGGTAAAAGATCGTTGACATGTGTTCAGCAGCATGACGGAATCGCTCCATCCCAATCCTGCATATACGAATAAAGTCAGCGACCATTAAGTTGACCTATATATTCGTCAAGAAGGGGGCAGACGCACATTACCACGACCGAAAAGAAAAGGAAGAAGGCAGCATTGATCCCGACATTCCGCCACAAGTGCGTGTGCTTGAATCCGTACTCGGCCATCAAATACAGCCTTCCAGCAAGGCTCAATTCGCCAGGGACGGACCCAGACATTGCACAAGCCTGATAATTGGTCTCATTGTATGCCGCTCCCCGGGGAACGATATCCTTGGTGCTACACTGATAAGAGCTAGTTCCAATTTCATTGAGAGCGACAGACTCGAATATATAGTACATCGGCTGGTTTAGAAGGTTAGCAGGTTAGCACATTCTTCTCACACGTGCATTCTGGACCTCATCTTTCAGACTTACATCAAGGTAGCGGATCCAAAAGAGCCAGACCTTCATGCCCGGGGGAGTGATGTAAAAGCCCGTATAGATAATAAACACATTTAGCAAAAGACCGACGGGGAGAATGGCTCGAGTGATGGAGTTGGTGAAGACGGCAATGGCCCGAAACATGACACTCAGTGCCATGAGGCCCATATAGAGGCAGACGAGCCATGTGAAGAAATGCCCCGCTGTGCGTTGGAAGTTGATCATCCAGTAGATGGGGAGCGAGTACATGATGAAGATAAATTTCCAGGGTACATCCGCGAGGATCTGGCCGAGCGCGTAGGCCCCGGGCCGGTAGAACCGCAAGGCCTTCTGCTTGAGCAAGATTGGGCGCTGGACAAAAGTATTTCCAAACTCAGCGGAGGCCTGTAAGCCCATAATCAGGACACAGAAGAAGAGGGCCGAGGCGCGCGTGTAGAGGCCCTCCGTCACGGCTCTCTGATTGCGGAACAAGGTGCCTAAAAGCAGAGCTTGAATAATCGTCCCGGCCGCCTCCGCGATCCAGGCGGCCCGGTCAGTCAGAAAAATCTGATAATGCCGGACTGTACACTCATACACCTGACGGTAGAGCGGCAGAGCGTACCCGGAAGCTTTTGGTTTGCCGACTGGTTTCAATTGCGACGGCGTTGCGGCGGTGCTCACGGCCTGCCGGTAGAAGCTGCTCTCCCTGAACCGAGTCTCAAAGTCAGCCGGGTGAATTGGCACCGGCCTGTCAAGGTCCTCTCGAGTGATCCGACCTTCCGGAGTTCCAGACATCGATGCGAGAAAGTCTGAGACCGACATCCTTGGAGAGCAGTAGAATCCAATGGACTCGAAGTAAGCTTTGGCTGAAGTCGCCGGGCCGTAGTATGCGACATGACCGTCATTCAAGACCAAGACCTTGTCGAACAATGCGACCGCCGAGTCGCTGGCTTGATAGAGAGACATTGCGGTCATACATTGACCACGTGTGGTGTATTTGCGCATGGTGGTCAAAAAGCGAATGGCGGTGGATGAGTCCAGACCTCGTGTAGGATTATCAAAGCAAAATAGACTGGGTGACGGTAAGATTAGCAATCCTTCTCCGCTCTCGC